CCTTTCATAAACCCTTCTAAGGGTATATGAAAGGGATTAAGAAACTTTTCACATACGGTAAAAGGGTTTAGTCTACGTTGCACTTTCATAAACCCTTAAAGGGTTTATTATTCTACCCTTTTTTTTTACAGTGTACCGGCTAGGCCTACAAAAACACGGCCTAGTTGATGCTCTGATACACATAGCTAATTCATAAGATTCATGGAAATACTTAGTTTTTCCTTCAATAAAGCAAACCACTAGTCTGTTATTAAAACAAAAATTTGCGAAATCGAAAATCGTCTTATTCTACGTATATACGAACAATACTTATTCATTCCGTATGCGATATTCTATTTTCTAGATACTCGCCTTGTACTTTGCACCGCATTTCGCATTCTAGCAAAACTTGAATATTATCTAGTTTCTTTTATTTGTTCTATTCTTCTAGTTAACAATACAATACACAATCAAAACAAAAAAAATGACCTCAACATCGGCAATAAAAACTTTTTCATTATGATCATGTGATTGGATAGGTTTTTATTTAGAAAAATTAAGAAGGTCAAATAAAAAATTGTTTTAGCAACAAATTGACGTTTTGATTATACTAATTTATTAACAACATATGCATTTGGTGATGACTGTAAAAATTTATTTGATTTAATTATTGTTGCTTATAAAAAAAAGCCTTCATATTCTAATGGTTAAAATCTATGCGATCCTTTCATCGATTTATTGATGAAAATAATATTATTCCAGTTACTATTGAATATATAATTACAGATTTTAATAAAAAGTTATATTTATTCATTTGGTAATAGTGAAGAATTAGAATTTGATTCATCTCCGATAATTATTCATACAACTGCTCATCATTTATCGAATCGATTATCAACAAATGCCGATCAATCTTATATTAAAGGAAATCGATTACAATTTTTTTTTGCTTCACCATCCGATTCAATTATTTTCGATGATGATAATACAAATGAAACAAAATTTCAACAAACTGAACCTGATGCTATATTATCGTCTCTATCATCGTATTGGTATACTTATATAACAAAATATGCGCATTCAAGTTTAAGTGTATTAGCAAATCATTTTGATGTAGATCATCAATTTGAACATGATCAACAGACAAAACATTTCGTTTTATTATATTAAAAATGAATCATTACGAATTTCTTCTATAATGATTATTTAATGTATCAGAAACGATTTGTAAAGCAAATCAACGTATTTACTTTGCAATTTTTTTAAAAATAGTTATAAATTTTCTGCATAGGGAAAATATACATGAAATTGTTCGGGAACGTCCGATTGATTACAAGCATATAAATATTTGACTTTGGCACAATTCACTCGCATTGTATCTCTTGTGAAGTTGTGTGTTACTCGCTGTAGAGAACGGTAAGAGATAACAAGACGAATAATTTGATAGACAAGTTTTCGTATTAACAAGAAATTGTTCAATATAATTGTCATGAACACCTGTGAGATCTAGATGAATAAGATGAGGATATTCAATGATTGGTAAATTTTGATTATCTTCATTTAGTAGTTGAGGTGATCGATTTTCTACGGTTAACATTTAAAGATATGGAAACGCTTCAGCAATTCGGATATAAGATTCATATTCAAAATGACGTTCATCATATATTAAAACTCTGTGAATAAATTTGAATAATCCATCTGGAAAACTATTCGTAAGATTGTGATAATATATCATTCTAGATGGATACGAATATATATGGCATTGACCAATATTTTCCTTTGGAAAATAATCGACATAAGAAATAATTTGCTAATCTTTAAGATCTTCTAATGTACGTTGAATGTCTTCATTTGATGGTAAAGAAATCGATTGATCAATCAATATATCTGAATGGATACTAAACATGAACTTCTTTAACTTTGACATATGACAAATAATAGCATGCTTCAAATTATTTCCATCGATAAATGCTTTACCATGGCTAAAACGACAGATCGAGGTATACAAGGAAAGTTCTTCTAGATTCGACATTCGATGTAGGAGAGACACAAGCGATTCTTCGTAAAAGCCTATGCCTATATCACAAGTTAATGAAAAACATTTTAAATTTATTAATTCTGTCTAGAAAAATAAAAGCGTTTTAGTGATTCTTTCAAATAAAATAACCCATTGTGTTAGGAATTGTTGGCAATGGAGGAGTAGAGATAAAAGCATTAACATAGAATGTATGAAGTTGTTTGAAACGACCATCAAGAAGATAAAGACAGTCATTGAACGTTTCAACGTTGAAGAAGAAAATGTTACATATTCCCTTGGATGATTAAATGAAAATCTTTCAACGAAGTTAATGTAAATATCAGAATATGGGTAAAACTTTAACCAGATTGAATTGGTGAATATAGTAAAGACACGAGTACAGATCGTCTTCATTCTACCTCTACTGATTAATTTTTTTTGGTTGTGGGATAATGTGATGATCAGTGTCGAAATACGATTTTTTACGGTGTGCCCGAAATGATTTTCCTCTAAATAGATAAAAGCAAGAGACAAACTTGCAGTTTTCTTTCCAAATCGGAGCTTGAGATGCATTGAAATGATTAAAAACAGAAAAGGAAGATTTTTATAAAATAAAATTCAGAAAAGGATTAATACTAAATAACTGATTTTTCCTCCATAGCAATTCGATCTTGAGATTTTCGTACCAGTGAAAAAACTTTTAATTGTTTCTTCTTCGTTATTGAATAGACCGAGTTCATGTAAATTATAATAATCAGCAGCACATAGAATTTGTTTCATAGATGAGAATTCCTGTAGCATAAAGCCATCGGATTTTCTCACGAATTGAGAGCAAAATTTGTAAACAAAATTGATTAAATATAATATCACGAGAAAATATGTTGCAAAAGTTCTTCGAAGATTATTTTCAGAAATTCAAACGATTTGTAAAAATTAGATCTTGTAGAATTGAATCGACCCGTTCATTGACACCGAATAAAGAACTTCAACATTGCTCATTTTTTTGAAAATAAACATTGAAAGTTCATCAGGAAAATGTTTCAATTGAAGACATGATCGATTCATTTTTATATTTAATAATTCTGTCGATTCTATCTCTCAAGAACCAATATATTTATAATTAGGCCTCGCAGCGTGTGTACTTTCCTGATTTCTCAAGATTTATCTCTGTAGGACTACATATCCGTCGTTTGAATAGGTAGGGCAAACGTTTTGCATTAGTTTTGTTTTTGATGTCGTGTTGTGATGGAATCTCGTAGAGACTTCATCGTTTGTTATTTGTTAGAAAGAGCAAAGTGTCTAGTACAAAAATATAGAAATTAATCTCATTGAAAATGTTTGATAGAGGTTACAAACTCTTGAGAACGCAAAGCATTGAAAAACGATTCTGTAACTTATTTTTAGAAGCTGGAAAAGATTTCATTTAATCTGAGTTTTACAAGGCACAACTGGTGAAGTTTGGTAGCACCAAAAAGAATCCCTTATGGATTTTTTTATTGGTTGAAACGAATACTTTAATATTACCGTCTGATGTCTTCATTCTTTATCACAGTTAGAAAAACAAATTCCATCGAGATAGAGTGATTACTAGAAACTATGTAGTTCATATGAAAATCGAAGGCTGATGAGTTCTCTATTGCACGATATTATTTGAAATAGGACACAGATTTTCTGTAACATATTCAATCAAAGATTTGCTTTCTGTATTGAAAACCATAAATTCGCAAAAGAATTTTTTTTAATGATATACTATTCTGTTTATTCTCCTGTCTGTTACACGGGTGTGGGTGTGAACAATAACCACAATAAAATTGTTGTTTGAATTTCTTTCGAATTAGATATTTTGTTTTTTGGTCTTTGGATTATACTAATATCTATTGCCACTTGATAATGATTCGTTTCTAATAGAATCGAAATAAAATCAAACAATAATTTTATCGTGATTATTCTTCATACCCACACCCAAAACATATCCTTCGTTCGGTCATTTTTTATGTCATATCATAATCGTTTTTTAACGCGAAAGAGAGAAATTGGGATGAGTCATTCGTTTAAAATTGAAAATATTCTGATTGCTTTTGCTATTACAACCTCAAAACATAATCAATTGCGCTTGCATATAATCATATTGTTGCGGTAAGTGAACATTTAACTTGAGAGATTTTCTCCTCACAGATGATAGGATGTACAAAAAAAACATCTATTTGCATCTACAAATGTAACGATGATTCGCGCTGTTTTATCTAGCAAGTATTTGTTTTAAATAATATTTAAAATATTCCTTTTGACAGTATAAAAAAATGATTCTATTTATGTTTGTTTCACATTTAATAGGAAGAGGAGAAATAAAGATATGTTTTGCTCGTGTTTCTATTGGGCATGTACGTCTTAAAAGAAATTAAGAAATAATATGTTGAGGTGTTTTCAATACGTGGTTAAGACGTATTCACCCTCGTGTGTTTCTAGCGTTATTGTCAGAATATCGTAGCGTATTTCAGAGTATTCGAAAATAATAGTGAAGAGAAACAAGATCTGTGCCACTGACATTTAAAATTTTGTTTAGCAAAATTGAATAAAAAAAGCCTAACTCTATGCTCTTCTAATATTGTAGAGAAAAGAACACGTGACAATATATGGCGATTTTATTTTCTTGTTCGGAGTATTTTTTCTCCAATCAACGCAAATAAACGAATGGAATGAAGTGACATTTTTTTCAATACAAAATAACGAGAAAAATAATTTTGCTCGGATTCGAATCGTACACAGGTTACAATATTTATTTTTCTCTTTTTCAATTCAGTTGAAGAAACAGTCATAAATCATTAAAATGCGCTGTTTTATTTTTTTGATTTCTCGAAGCGAAATGACATTGACTGTAGATAGTTGCTTGCAAATTCGCTTTTGACTATTTTTCAGGAGTTGCTGAGTAAAAACACCAAGCTATTATATTGACATAAAATAATACATTCTGTTGAGCTTTTCTTTACTAAATAGGCTGCAAGTAAACTGGCATCACGTGTTGATCTGAAAAAACAAGGCTTTTAAAACGTTTCAAAAATAAAATGAATAAAAAAAATTGCATTTCGATTTACATATGATAGCCATCACATCTAAAGATACGATCGATTGTATTTTATAATAAGAAAAAATTTTAACCTATTCTATTTTTTCGATTCGTATGAATGAGTCACACCCATTATTTTTTCTTTCTCTCAAAAACAATCCAATTTTACTTGGGAAATATATTTTAACCAACTAATTTTCTTGTAGAAGTATTCATTAGACATGTTTAGTAAACTTCAAATTGCGGAATTACGTTCACCCAAAAATATTCAGCCTACTCTATTAAACCTCAGTGGTGTCGACCATCAAACTCTTTATAATCTGGATGAACTGAATACTCACGTTAGCACTCACTCGAAATTATGGTCTTTTATTCTATTATTGGATCTGAACGATCAATTTTCAGATGCGGACATAGATTACTTAAAAAGACATCACCGTGTATTAGCGATATTTATATGTGTAAAACCCAATTCTAACATAAGATTCGATGGTGATAATGTGTATTCTGTTTACAAAGAACTGATTTCATATAGAATCAAATTATGTGCTATTCGATTTTTTGAGGATTGCTCGAAAACATTTCTGGCATCAAATGAAATCAATGCTGGGATGGCTTTAAAAGTCCGGGCAAATTTTTTAAAGCAACAACGCTTCACAAGCCAACAGGTACTGTTTGTTTCGTTAAATCTGATTTAGGTTATCGATAAAAACCATTTATAGATACAAGCCTGTCATGTACTAATTATTCCATTGAATACAACTGATGGGAATACACACGACTATCAACAACGTCTCTTAGAATCATGTATGAAAGAGTTCGAACTATAAAATTTTCATAATCAAGTATGTATTTTTATCGTAGGCTATCGTCTTTGTGGTGAATACGAGCCGTCAGTTTGTACAATTCATGATTATTTACCTCCGTATACAAACAGTGATTTTTATAAGAGTGAAGATGCAGATATTCTCTGTAGCTATGCGATAGGAATTTGTCCAATTCGAATTTATCTGATTGGAAATGAAATTTGTATTCCAGATTCTATGTGTGAATATATCTTCGAACATGAATTACATAATACTAATCGGTTGCAAGATCATGATACATATAGAATTGTTAAAAACGAGCCTATCGCTGCATCCGTTCAATTGGATTTAACAAAAATTCTTAATATCAGTCAACAATTGATAAACGTCATCATACAGAAATATCAAGATATTGAAAATGATATTGAATTTGCCACAGCTCTTGAGCATTCCAATAGAAATCTTAGAGGAAGAGAAAAATCTACTGTTATGAAACTACAAGAGAGTGTTGCAAGTTCTTCAGAAAGTTCTTTTGAATTTAGCGCTGCAGTATGTAGAAAAGTAATCGCATTTTTACTTTTTGAATATTTTACTTTTTCTATTTATAGTTTCGCACAATTAAACAAGCTCAAGATGGGACTAAGAAACATGACGATGCTGGGGATAGAGACATTAATACTGAAATTCAATGTTAGCCTATCGATACTTTATCACCAATAACTTACAGAAATCAGTATAATTGCATATATTAACATATATCAGCCGATATTATTTTTTCTGAAAAAAATGTCATACTCCTTTTTTTTTAATGTTGGCATGACTTTGATTGTTTCTAAAACAACGTCTATAACCCGCCGTTTGACGAAAAATAAATAAATCTTCTTTCACTTCTATAGAATATTCATAAAAAATTGGATAAACTTATAGGACTGGGTTTTTGTTTTTAATTGGAAAATGCACGTTGTTGCAGTTGCAAATATATCTTTGTCTGCTTCGATTTTTAATTAATTTAGATTTTCAAGTTACGAGTGTCTGTCTGTATTTCTACGGAAACGATTCGATTCATCTTAAAAATAAAGAGTGCAGTCTAGCATAACTATTCCGTAATAATCTTTTGGGATTCTTTTTTCCCCTCAGTTTTACGAGTGCTCATGGAAATTCACGATCCATTCTTTTTCTTTCATATGTCACCATAAGTTGATCGCGTTGACTTTTTCTATCATTCAATGAAGATATTCGCAAGCTTAAAATTATATCGACAAAGAATTAAAGATACCATCTTTAGTCTTCTTATGGTAACCGATTTTTCTTTGTGAACTACTATATTCAAGAAAGAAAGCATAACATTCAAATCCGATAAGAAGTTTTCTTTTTTGTGATCTTTATTCAATGTAATTTTGTGTGGGTGTGGGTGGCATGCATGTGTAAAACAGTTGAAAATAAATCGAACACAAATTAGTCCTTCTTATTTGTGCAGAAAAAATTCCTATGCCATTATTTTTCATAACTCGACGATATTTTTATCTAGCTGATTAGATCCGTGTACAAAAAAAGCACTTTATCAAATCACCTACAATGCTGCTGCAGTGATTTTTAAGTATCTAGAAAGTTTTGTAGGAATCATATGGTAAGGATATGTTTTACAGTTTTATTTATTGTCTAATACCATATTAATTCGGATTTTATTGCGTAGTTCCCACAGTCGAAAATGATAATTCCCATGAGCTCGTAAAAAATAGTTTTAAGACTATATTTACAGACAGGTGAAACAGATCAAAATGTAAAGAATTATACTTACGAATAGCATAGTTCAATGTACATATCTTCAATTAAACAAATGGATAAATATTATGACACAGCTTTTTTCGATTCTAAACTAAGTATGAGAATATTCCATGTTGAAACATTAGTCATAGAGTGATTTATGAATTTTGGAATATCTCATTTCCAAAAAGAAAAACCGCAGCAGCATGCTGCTGAAAACCAAGAGACTCTAGTTGATTTGCAAGAACAAAATCGTGTAGTTGCGATATTAAAGAATTATAAAAACATCTTGTACGATGGATCTTGGTGGAAAACGTAGAAAAAGAAAATGTCGAATACATTCGACTGATGTTACTAAAGAAATTCTATTTTCTTATTCTGATTGGCGCAGGGACGCATCTAGGATTTTGAAAGAGGGGTACGACTTTCTGAAGGGGTGCGATCATAGACAAAAAACACATTTTGAGATATATTCCAGGTAGCATGAGCTTGTTTTTCGTTCGTTTTTGCTGGGAAAAATAAAAATAAATATCGAAGGGGCTACGACGAGGTGATCGCACCTCCTAAATCCGCCACTGCATTGGTCACTCTTTCGCTTCACATATTATATTTCTCATCGAATAAAGAAAATTTTCAAGCATTCAATTGACATATTGTTAGAATGGCGACAAACTTAGCTTCTGAAAATAGTTCATGTAAAACCCAGCATTTTGACATATCATTTTCTACATCTAACAAGGGTAAACCATTATTAATATACGAGAATTACTTATTCAAATGCAATAAGACAACAGCAAATAGAAAATATTGGTTGTGTGGTGAACAAGAATGTAGTGTATATATATACACAACTCTGTTGCTAATGCAATGATATATATTAAAGGTGATCATAACCATCCTTTCAATCGAGACCGATTAGAAGCTAAACTTGTACGGTTTATCATTGTTGATTGGAAAGAAAAAAAATAGATGCACTTATATTGTCAATTTTTTTTAGTCTTTTTCATTTTAAATTAATAAAGGATTAAATATCTCATTCATCAAAAAGATAAAGCTAATCATTTCGATATTTTCCTTTTCTACGTTTTCCACCAACTCCGTACGATCTACTAACAGAGAAACAAAAACAAATTTAACTCGTTGCTCTATCATTTGTTTAAATTGTCAGGTCACATCCTGTTTATTATTGTTCATCTATCGGGCTTCTTGCCTAATGTTTTTTCAAGTTTCGACATTAGTTGTGTATTCTGCCTTTACGTGGCTACCGACCAATGACATTTTCACCGTCTTTACTGAATAATTCTTTCTCCCATTGTCTGAGGTCGAATGGATTGTTTCCGTGAATAAATTTGTTGAGTCAAGTTGTTATTCATCCGATTGATTTAACATTTATTATAGAAATAAGAAAACAGGTAAAAATGAATAGAAAAAAGAAATGTTGTGTCTCGGCAGTTTATTGAAAGAAATAAAAAAAAGAGAGGCACAAAAACTCTCCTGTTGCAAGTCATTGTGCCATTGTTCTTTTTACTGACCAAAAAACAAAGTACGATAAGGACATCGTATTTCTATCATGAAAGTGGTAGATTGCACTTGATAACCTTTTGAAAAATAGGGTTGCCTTGTTTTCTATTACATTTTGTTCACCAATAATTGCAGTATGAATTATTCTTCATTCGAAACTACCAGCGGCGGATCCAGGATTTTCGAGAGGGGGTGGCGATTTCTAAATTGTTTTCAAACAAGCTAGTATTAATTTTCGTGAAATATTTAAAAATGTGTGCTTAATCTTTCGAATTCTTTATTTCGTTTTATATAGTATATCACTATGAAATGATCCCTTTTCATTTACTTCTTGCTGGTGATTGTTGCAAATTGAGACTACTGGTTTTTTGAAAAACTTAGTAATAAAAGGATACATTTCAATCTAGAATATGGTATTCATTTGTTACTATAAAGAAGGCATCACTGGGGACTCCCAGGGGAGTTATCTGGCCAAAACCGATGAAATATCTAATTACTAATGAATTCTTCTAAATTTTTTAAAATTTAAAAAAGTTAGAAAGTTTTTTTTTATTTAAAAAAATTTCATCAATTCTCCCCAGAGAAATCCCCCAAATAAAAAGTCCCCGGGAACTCACGACAGGGACTCCCGGGGGAATCGTCGGGGGAGAGTGGATTAGGGATTCCCAAATATGTACATGTCATTACTACACGCTTTAGATATTTCGGTCAAATTATATTGAAAAAATCAGATATTTCCCGTAAAGTTTTCAATACCCCCGGCTACACAATTAGGCTCTCCTAGTAAAATTGAAGTTTTGTCAAGGTTTCTTGTTCACATAAGCTTTTGATGGTTACGTTTCAATATTCAAGTGTATTTGATCAATTGTCAATGGATGATATTTATGATTAATCCTGTTATTCTACTTCTTGCTATTAGTCATTCGCTCACAGAGCTTTATTTTATTACATATTCTGTACCTTATTTTTACGATCAAAGCTGACATCGTTTAATTAAATATCATATTGCAATATCTATTATATCATGCGTTGAATCATAGAAACATTTCAAAAACTTTCGCCGGTATTCTATCCTCAGGGGGTGGCGATGGCCGTGTAGCCTAACTGGTGGATCCGCCACTGGAAACTGCATAAAACTCAGTTCGATGAATATTTTCGAAAGGTATTTACTAACGTTTACTTTTATGTAAACCTCTATATGATTAAAACGGATGCAGATGAATTGTTTTGTCTTGTAATCATCTACGAATACATATTGATTGGTTTAGAAATAAATAGTAGAATGAAACGTCGAATTCAACCAATAGTGGCGCTTCGGGTGAGATTCATAAGCGTACGTTATGATCAAAATTTCGCTTCTTTTGCATAAGGATTCATAGGAATCCTATGATTGCGTTACAAAAAAAAACTGTTTTTTCAATCGTGCACTGCTTTTAATGGATTCTCAAATATATTGTTTGATTATCCATCAAAAAACCCTACGAGAACACAAAACTTTTTTGAATTATTCAACCTACAGAAGAAAAGCAACTTTTTATTTTAAAACCATAGATGTTAAATGAGTCGTTCAAATTTCAAAATGATTCGGAGGCTTTTCGAATGAATATGAAACTCTTCTACTTCCTAATCTATCATTATTTGAATTGTGGTCTTACAAATAATAATGAGCTACAATATGTCAGTAGCTAACAATTGTTTTAGTCAGTTTTTATTACTACTATTCACGCTACTTCTATAATACAAACAAACATGCTGGACTTTATGATTTTGAATTTCCTTGAAATGAAAATTGTTGAAGAATAGTTCAGAACGCAAAGAAAAGCAGATTTCTGTCGTCTAGTCGTACATCAACAGAAGAATGGAAAGAGGAAAACGATAGAATACGAGTGTAATGGATTTCTTTTTTTTTCAAGTTTAGCATGTGCTTCAGTCACTCAAGTGTCTACTCGTCATTGCAACAAGAAAGCCGGTCAACTTTCAAAGAAAAACTTCCCATGCACCTCAATTTTTCATTCCTTACAAACATACAATGCCTGATGTTTATGTATAGATTCGTCTTTTTATATTGAAAGAAAGAAAAACAATAGGCTGCCTACATCCTCGCAAAAAAATTCTACATATTACTCAGCAAAGATATTAAGACAAGAGGGAATTTTTTCACTTCTGATGATTGTAATCAAAGACGAGACTATTTTAAATAGATTAAGTCAACCTCAAATCAAACATAAAAAATCGATTTTTTTATAGATTAAATACATCAGAGGGAGTAGTAGTAGCAGACGAAATAAAGAGCGGCTTTATAAAGTAGAATGAATGACAGACGACAACATACAGAGTACAAGAAAAATTTGTGAAACATACATATTCTTCGTTTTATGTCTTTTCAAATAACAAATTAATGTTTTATTTTCAGACGATGCCTTCAAGAAAATTAATCACGAAGAATAAAAACTTACCGGACGAAGTTTTATCACCAGAGACGTTGGAAATCGTTATTGATGATGAATTTGATAGTGATTTATTTGACGAAGATTCCAATAGTCAATCAAAGTATAAACAAAACTGATTAATTAACATTTAATTTTACTTATTTAATCTAGACATCGAAAATCTGGCACAACCGAGGACGAACATAACATCAATCGACCATGGAAACAAATAACAATTAAAGTAAATTATGAAACAACGTGAGACGCCGCTAAAAAACACATGAGTACATTGTTTTTAATTCAGAATTCGAAATCTCATCGATTGATTGAAAAACGACGCCGAGATCGAATGAATCGTAGCCTTGACATTTTATTGAATTTAATACCTCATAGAAAGCCTAAAGTATGAATTTATTCCTGTTTCTATTGTCGATTTGAACGTACTTCCTTTTTAGAATCAAAGACGTATTGAAAAAACAGAAATTATTGAAATGGCCATTAAATATATTCGTTGTTTATTATCATCAAATTCAAAATCATGTAAATTGAAAAGCAAATTTTCTTTTCTTACTTTTCGTTATACTTTTGTTCAGATGAACCATTCGAAATAGAAAAAAAGATCAATTCGAAAGTTGATGTCTATCGAGCTGGATATTATAATGGTATTGGTGATATGTATGAATACATAGAAAAACAGAGCAATGATGAAAAACTTCACTCTGAGATATTTCAATATATTCAACAGAAAGAAGTTGAATTAAGAGATTTAGAAGGTGAGATTTGTAATTAAAATTAAAACAAAAAAAATCTAATGGAAATTCCAAATCACATTTTTTTAAAAATATTTTAGCTATATCTGATAAAAAGAACGGATTAAAACCACCAAAAACAAACTGTGACAAATCGAATGACAATCGATTTTCTTTATGTGAGAGAAGTAAAATTCAAAATGATGAGAATAATTCAATCAAACAAGCAAAAGTGCCAGCATTTGTCTTACATCCATCTGGAACACATTATATTCCGATGCATATTGATTCATCGATTGTTATAAATGCATTTAATAATCATGCTAATCTATCTCAAACTTGCTTCGTAAATGAACAACCTCAATGTCATCCGGTATCAATACCTGTGAATTTCAATTCTATATCAATTCTATCAAATCAGCACGAGCTCGATATTCAAAATATAAATGTTATCGGTGCTACACATTCGACAAGTGTTAAACCTTGTTGAATCTTTTTTTTTATTAGTGTTACATTTTATAGCTTATTTTTCTTTTCTTTTTTCAATAGAGTCAATAATAATAAATAGCAAATAAAGAAAAAAATTCAGATCAAAAGAAGTAAATAAATGAGAAGGGGTTGAAGGCCTTTTAACAGAAGGGAACTGGGCATTGAATTTTTACGTTATGCAATGCAAAGATTGGATTCTTTATTTGCAAGCATAGTCTGTCAATAATTATAGTTTCATATTGATACAAAAAAATATTGTTATTTTGACAGCAAAAATCGTCTAGCCTGTGTGAAGAATAACATTTATAGGGGTATAGCAGTTCTCAGATCCAAGCTCAGATTAAATGAGAGAAAGAACTGTTCGAACAGCTCTTTTGATCGGAATTAAAACTGAACTCTCATACCCCTAGACATTTAATGAAACAAAATATGGGAAGTCTAGAAAGGTTTGCTTCATGTCGTTTCGAATGAAGTTTTAGAAAGTTATCTATCGTGAGGGTGTGAGTGTGCATCTTGTTTTCGTCCCCGCCCAAGCACCATTACAGACATCAGAATTCTCATGTGTATCATGGTGTATTAACTGGGGTAGAAAAAATGTTTCCCTGGCGGCTCCGAGCAAAATGCTAATGTGGTTTCAAAATCAATACAATCTTCGGCAAATGTGTGTGGCAAACTGTAGTCTACCGTTAAGATGCAACATCGATTATGAAATCCATTCAAGTGGGTTTTTTAATTAAATGAGAAACTCTGCTAAATAAATAGACGAAAAAAAAAGAGAAAAAAATAAGTATATAAAAAGTGACACTAGAGACTTTCAGATTTGTGTTAAATTGATCAAAAGAAATAAAATCAACACTATTTATATTACTCTCTGCTGTTTTATTTTTATCGATGCATCACATTTTCGTGGTGGCATTATCAGCTGGTAAGTGTGTGGCTCTCCGGCTAACGTTCTTTCCAACTTTTTTGTCGTATAATTTGGCCTCTACATTAAGCTCATTCATGGAAATTTTTACTCATAATATACTGAAGTAGAAATGCATAGGCTTACCTGGTCAATCTAGGTGTGAATCTGAGAGCGAAATCGAACCGAACCGAAACAAACTCGAATCAGAATCAGAAAAGTCGATTTGATTCGCTCTCTGGTTGGAATTGTTTTTTGCCATTCAAGATAATAACTATTAATAAATTCGAAAATTTATCTTGAGGTACAATTTTAATACTCAGACTTTTTATTAAGAATTGTCGATGTTATAAGAATATGAAGTGCGAACTAAATCGAATCAAAACAAACTAAACATTTTTTTCTTTTCCATTCGAACCGAACTGATACGAAGTCAAATTAGAAAAAGTTGGTTCGATTCGCTTTCTAAACCCTTCCATGCTCAACGATTGAGTTCTAGTTCGCGTGCGGGCACGTTACAAAGGACATGAGACTGCTTGAAGAATGGCTTCTCTCTGTTTTTGGAAAGTCAAAATTTTACAACTCGATGGAGTTTTTTCACCATTGTATTTTTTTCTGGGAATGTATCGTTCTATATAACACGTGTTTCGCACCAATGAAGTTGAATTTTTGCGTCCTAAAACTCCAAATGGTTTAAAACTTGGAAAGAGAATTGTGAAGCTAAAGTTTGAGTTAGTAGCGCAATCCAGATTTTTGACTGGAAAGAAGAGCTGAGCCACTCCCTGACTTTGCCACTGGCCTGAGCTCCAACAGTAGTTGATAATAGGTTTGTTTTTACACTTAGCGACCTTCAAACGATCAGATATGAGCAGAAAGCCTCCGTCTAGTTGTTCAGTATACATTTTTTATTTGTGCACAAGGACAGAGCAAGGCTTCTCACAATATCAAATGCTTTTTCATGAAAATAAATCATCCAGAGATACAAACTTCAGTTCTGTAACTCTCTAGAATTCAGAAATTCTTCAAATGGAATCATTTTATAACTTCTAAATGTGAAATATCGATAAGTTTTTTTCCTATTATCTATACGGGCGTGCACTCAGCATTACTCCAAGTGGGCCCACTGCCCAATTTCTTATCTAACAACGGTATTCCTGGAGAAAAGGTGCAAATACAGCAACAAATTGTCCTACGCTTGCCGCTCTAATGGCTGTTACGGGATCTCTACTATCGTGTTGGTGCGGTACCTGCAGTGGTAGGCCAACAATAACAACAGATGTTTACTGCACGGATTGTGATGCCGTTGTTGACAATAGTTCGAGTGAACGTTACGATACGGCTACATTGACATTGGGAACAAGTCGATCAGTTGGTTTCTATAATAGTGCATGGTTAGCATTAGCTTTTAATTCCGGTCAAGGATATTGATCAGTAATGAATTTATTGAATGCATATGTCAGACTAGATGGAAAAATAAATACAAATCCTGTCACGATTACCCTTCCAGTTATATATCAAACAGTGAGTGTTCAGCATGTCCATGTTGTTCAGGTGAGATGATTAAAAGTAGTGGAATAAGGTATGTGAAAGAATGTATATTTGGTTTTTCGTTAAAATTTAACTTAGATGGCTGATGCTGATTTTGGTAACGTACTCGTGTGTCGCTGGGCTACTGAAGGTATATCATCTGGTAATCCGGTCACTGCTTCTGCACAGCCAGTGGCAATCCTGTTCAAAATATCGATGCATGTAGAAGTGCATGTGTGTGTCAAACACCAGCTCTGGCAGCGTCTCAAACTGGCCGATATTTTGCTGTTGCATTACAGATCGAAGACTTTTATAGCAGTTCCTCTACGACACCAATGAGTAGTATTCCTATTCAATTTCTATTCTATGTTGTCGCTGCGCCGACTTCTTGCTCTGTACGACTAGTTATTATCGGCGTACGCCCAAATCGAGGTAATTTACTTAAATGTGTATTTCCCCGTGTGATTTTCGGATTATAACTTATTTGTTTTTTTCAAACTATAGCATGTGTCGGTCAGTCAATAAATTTGACTGTATCAGAAAGCGCCGTAGCACAGCCTGGATGTACTACAGCAGGTATAATACGCTTTACAACTTCATCCCGAACTGGTCTAATAAAGAGTGCAATCACTTATGATTCGTCAGCTAGTGAGAGCCTCTCTCAATTCTCAGGATAATTACTTTTACAGTTGAATGATTCATAGATACGTACACCATGACCTTGCCATGGGTTCCCACCGCACAGCAGATCGGCCCACAAGCTTTCTGTGCTGCTGCTATTGACACACTGAATCAACAATCTGATCAATGGTGTAAAATAGACCAGTGATGGTACAAGGATCAGCTAGTCCGCTTGGAACTGTGTTTGCTAATCAATCACTCTTCTCGATTCAAGATATATATCTATATCTAGATTACACCTTGACTCAATAAGTCTATAATATATTTCTTTTAGCATCCAAGACAGTACACCGTCCATCTTTAAACGGTACGAATATTTACTTTAATGATGCAGCCACAAACTCTGTGGTCGTCCAATATGATGCTGGGTGGTCTTCAAATATTCCATATAGTGGTAATACAATTACGATATTAGTAACAAATTATATATGGACGTAGGGGCATACATACTATATGACTATGGATGAAGGTTTTTCAAGCGGCACTGAATTTTTCGGTATGTGATGAATAAGTAGCGACAGGTTCAGCTTGTTCATGTCGAACTCTTTCTTGAAATATATAGGTCCCGAATCAATTAAAATAACTGATGCATTATTCTGGCATTTTGAAATATGGAACCCAGAGCTTTCAAGTACAACGTCAATAACCACCACAGCACCTACGACACACACAGCCACGTCCCGGTCAGCATCAGCATTAACTGTTAGCACATTGGTAAGTGACCATGAGTCTCTCCGTTAAGCAGATATGCTTTACTTGAATGTTACCGCACTTCAGCTGACAACAACCGGCATTCAAGTTACAACTACTACGACAACATCCACTGTAACCACAAGTGAGAAAAAGAAAATCTTCTAGTAGAGTGAATAACTTACTTGTTTCCTTGATACTGTGTTCAAAGGTACAACTACGACTACTACAACAAGCATCTCTACAGAGATATCAGTTTTTACATCAAAAAATTTTGTATGTCATGTGTAAATTCAAGTCACTCGTTTTTTTTGAAAGCTGTGTTTGTTCTCTATTTAAGGAATACATTTGGCGATATCCAGTTGCAGTGTTTAATGCTATTGGGTATTTAGCTATGCTTTTAGCCCATATCGCATCAATGTCTGCGTTTTATACTTAGTTGATGAAAAAATTCAATCCAAATATGATTACACAACAAATCCGATACGAACGACGTATACGTCGACTGGCACCAGGTTACCCATAGTGAACATTGATCAATGATGTTATTTTGATTAGACTATGAGAAATTCTTACTATATATTACATAATTTTCAAGTATCCATATTCATTTTTGCCTCTTTTTTTTATATGAACAATTGTATTTTCCTATTTTTCTGAGAGAACTACAGTGCACAACTATTACTTTATTAAAATTATTTTGATATTCTTTTACAAGAGTATAGTTATATCTTGAGGGTGTTCGAGATTTTTCTTCATCTACATTACTCAACCACACCCACGCCCAAAAACTTCAGAATAGTGAGATTATTTGTGGATAAGATTTATGTTAATTATTAGAAAAAGTGCTTGTGTTAGTGATTTTTCTCAAAGTTAATACTGTTTATCAAGAGCGAAGTCAAAATAGTTGTCTATGGAAAATGTAAATCACTAGGGAAATCTACCTTTTGTCTGTTGTTGTGCCACATAAGCTCGTACAAGGATTGACCCACCAGAACCAGTTGAGAATGACTGACTGGGGTCATTCAACCTTCCAGTTATATTCTCACTTGGCATGATGTTGATGGAGGGTGATGACATGAAAGTAGTATATGTCGTTGTCATCGATTGTATCTCAAACGGTGGCAATGAACCAGAGAGAAGCGAATCTTCACGAAAATAATCCATGACTGGCGTTTGCGGTTTATCATTGATATACTGTCGTCGATAGTTCGTTGAATCCTGACCCCGAATCTTATGAGCGTTCTCATGTGATTGGCCATTGTATTCTTTCACGCATTCTTCACAATGAGTAGGGTTCTCTCGCCAAAACCTTTCGCGCAATCTTCTCCTATGAAAAACGAAAAGAGTTTGATTTATAAAGCAAAAATCAAACACGTATCCGCGTACCAGAACGCTCCTGGGCACCATCGGCAGCAAAGACAAACAGTCGTTATACCAATAGCGAGTATTAGTGGAAGACCAAGACCTATGCCAAGTCCAACAAAAAGAGAAGAGTCATCCGTCGATTGCAAGGTGGATATTTGTGAGGATGAAGAAGTTATCGTTGCCACTGAAGTCGTAGACGTTGAGAACGACGTTGAGGTTGTCGAAGTCGTAGATGTTATCGACGTGGTTGAGGTAGTTGACGTTGAAGACGTGCTAGAAGTTGTAGAGATCGTCGGGGTTGTAGACTTGGTTGAAGTGGTAGACGTAGCAGATGTTGAAGAAGTACTAGTCGTCGTAGCTGTTGTTGATGTCGTACTGGTGATTGTCGATGTCGTTGTAGTGGTCGTCGTGGTTGTTGTGGATTTTGTCGTGGATATGGTTGTTGTGGAAGTCGTCGTTGTAACGCAAATGTTGGATGAATTTTTTACAGTAAATTGCACACAATATTGAGATGATTGTAGATTTTCACTTATTAACAAGAAACAAAAACATCATTCAAATTATGAAAAGTGAACGTAGATAAATTCTACCTTGTGAATGCAATGAAACATAGTCGCTGAGATCCAACTTGATTGTTCTGTGGTATCCAGGTATAGGTTACGTATGAAATCGATGAGTTTGTTGTTGAGCTTGTGAGATTACTACCAGTCATACCATTGATATTAGTTGAAGTAACAATGTCTGTAATGTTAGCGACAGTAAAATTACATAAATTCATTGCGGAGATATTGAAGCTAACTGAGACATGAACTTGCACTTCGAGGCAGTCTGTTAAAGGCAAGATGATAGGCGTGATTGAACAGAATGGTGTTGGCAGAACATAAATTAACATTTGAATAGGAACTGAACTCATTGGTGTTGCGCTTGATGAATTGATAAAATCTTCAACCTATAGAGTAAGAAATCTACACTGTATGTTATTGTATATTTCTGGAGAATGTTGTAAACGATTGCATATTTTTTTAAATAATATACATAACATTTAAAACTCGAATATTTGGTTTAACAAGAGTTCAGCATCGTCCTCCTGTAACCAAATCATTCAGATTATGCTAGATAGTTTGAGAGATTCCAGGATTATGATAAAGCATTCAAGTATGTGTGAAAAAGAATCAGATTACCTGAATTGCAACTGCATACCAGATGCCGGCTGTCATGCCAGTGAATGTGATCGTACAATTTGAAAGGGTTGTACCATTGGGCAAACTACCAGGATAACAAATACCCCCACATTCATTAATAGCTTGACGAGTCGGATACGATGACGTCGATTTTAATGTTCCTATGGTTTCTAGAGTGCTGGTGGTCGCTACTGTAGTTGTCGTAGCCATGCAACCTGCAGCTAAAGTACATGTCGTTCCTGGACATAATGAACGTATGCACGCGCTACATTGGCAACTACAACCGTTTGTACAGTTAGTGGTACAGCCACTGCCACCACCACCGCCAGAACCACAAGGACCCCTTTTTTCTCTAATATGAATCAGCTCTTTCTTGCTTTCTCTCTGATTGTATGGATGAAGATGAGAAGGATGATTGATTTGCTCTTTCTCGTCATTCGATCGTTTTCGTCTTCGGTATCCAGATGTATAGACTGCCCATCGACAACGTATATCATCCCCATCATTAGGATCCGAAACAGGGATAGTGATCTTCGTTGTTCTATTAACAATCGCATATTGAGGAGAAATAAACTGTGGCACGGGAGCGCTACTGATGAATCCATCCGGTCGTTGGCGAATATCAATAAATGTCACTATGGACCATTCAAGAGCTGCTGTGGGAGGATTATTCAACGGCGTCCAAGCACTTCCTCTATTAGCTATATAAAAATAAGCATCAGCAGACAGTGTAACATTCTTCGGTCTTGAGCTTGTCATCGTCTTTAATGATGAACTAGCCCATGTACAATCGGTAAGAATATTAATGGGTGCACTTGAATACCCACCATCACTTAAACAATCAACAACACAAGTCAGATTAGCATTGGCACCAGTAAATGCAGTAGTGGTGATCGGTACATTATTTTCACATTTTACATATGGATATGTCCATGAATAAGTTTGAGTGATAGTGACTCCAACTGAAGTGCCATTATCATATGGATCAATGGGAGCCCAAGTAATAGTTCCTCCATTGAAGTGTTTCTCATCGGTAACAAGGAAAGAAGAAAATAATATAAAGAAGCTCAATATCATTTTTATTTCTACGATCCAAAGCAATATGAAGAAATCAAAATCTAAAAAATGTAATTTCTGTATCAGGCATGGTTATTGATGAAAGAGAAACAAATACGTATGTACCAGAGATGCCCACAGGGCAAAAAAAATTAATTTTACCCTACCCTGTAGCACGACAGGGTAGACCAGGGCAAATTGCAGAGCAGGGCAGGGTGGGAGCTGTACTCTGCAAGGTAAAATTCAGTTGTTTGAATTTCAGTTTTGAAGACATACTTTTAGTTTCGAAGTATCAAAAATAAAAAATAGACTCCAGAGAGCGACAGCAACTGGTAAGCAGAACTTCCGATTTATATTGACCACCGTATGAACATGCTAGAATCAAGATAATTATAAATAGTGACCATAAAAGACGTAGGATATCTTAAGTAAGAATGGGAACTTCGAATATTTTCCGAATGGATTACTCCCAAGGACTACACAAACCACTTTCCAAGTAGAACTCGCTGAGCTCTATTCAGCCCAGATACCAATCGTACTCAAATCTTCATAAAAAACTGAAAGCCACAAAAACCATACAAAACTCAACCAATTTTGCTAAATCCCGTCGCGATTGGCCAGGAAGAATTTTTCAACATAGTCGCAGTGGCTCCCAGTCGATAAATCGGTTAAAAATCTGTTTAGAAACCACCGTGGCTACCTCTGGAAGTTGCTATTGCGCAATCACGAAAGGATTTAACAAAAAACCTAGGAATTTGGACCTAATTTCTATGGGCCGGGAATGTTAAATCGAGCTCAAAATGTGTCTAATCGATAGAGTACGGCAAGATCTACATGGAAAATAGTATGAGTCATTGTAACGTTCTTCTAGGCGAATCACGATTTTACCAAAATTGGTTCAGTTTCGTATGATTTTTCGGAATTTTAACTTTCTGCCAGGTATTTTTTCAATAAAATTCATATGCGGGCTAGATAGATCCTGTCATGTTCTGCTTCAGAAGTATCTTGTTTTTTTTGGAAAGCTGTTTAAAACGAAATCATTCAGGAAATACTCGGATCCAGTTCAAAGATATTTTCCGTATGCCAGCTCAGCAGGATACCCTGTCCTGTCCTGGCCAGGGTACAGGCAGGATCAGAGTGCATTTTAAATTTTTGCATTTTTTTCAACTGGGCATGGTAGGGCACAAAAAATCACCCTGTGGACATCTCTGGTATGTACTATGCTATGGAGCGTGAAGAGAAATCAGTTATTTTTCTACTGATCATCCTGCGGATAGTGTATCGTTGCTACGGATGAAATCAGACTGTTCTTTTTTTCGTAATGGTAAAAGGTTTGGTGCTTAATGAGATCTTTTTATTTTCATAAATAAAGTACGGTATCTTTGATTTATGAGATAAAAAAAATTTGAATAACGAAATTCCATATAAATATCAATATGAAGCAACCTAATTCTTCTGTTGTATAAAACTTTATATGGGCTGTTACTCACCAGTGAGATAAATCTCAGTAACTATGAGCACAATTCTTATTGAAACGGTTCCACTCGTGCCTAATTCGTATTATTACTTACCAAGATGATCGTAACTTGTGATACTTATTAGCGATGAATTCTCCTGTTACTTTAAAGGTTGTCATCCTATTTTAATCAAAAAATGAATAGAATTTTTCGATTGCTGATATGTTAGCTTGTACGAAACCATATCGATGATAGTTGCTTGCAAAGTATTTTCAGCTTGATTATTATTCAATTCTACTCGTATTTTTTAAGAATAAATTTTAGCACCATGCGATCTAACTGAAGTGAAAGTCTTTTGTTAAGACGCTGAAGAATAAATTCAGTAGATCAATACGCAAATTTTAAGATATATTGATTTTACTACGAAAATAGTTATTTCAAAGAATGTTACACAAATTCAGTCATGGATACGAGTGATTTATTTCAAAAGATTTAAATATCGACAATAGCAAGTTGTCGCAGGATTTAATTAGCATCCTTTCTATAATCTATTCCTCGTGCCTAACAAATTGAACCACGTTAATTTGAGCTTCTCGCAATTTTGTTCCAAATATTTTCTTTTATCGATTTTAGTCATGTGCATTAAGAAATAAATAAAGGTTCGTTTTACCTTTACTTTCTAAGTACTTAATTATTTTTCTCATTATTTTTCTTTTTGTTCCTTTCTATGGACAAGAGTAATCAGGAAAGATGTATCATTAATTCAAGCACAGAGTAAACAATGCGCTTTCATAGGAACTTTTTTGTATTCAAAGAAATAAATCCATTGAATAATGAAAAAAAAAAAGAATTTACGAACTTCTTATATAAAAAAACATTAATTGAATTTTTTTTTACAAAAACGAATCAAGAAATTATGAAAACAAAAATTATTTTCCGATGATGCAGTGATGTTTTTTATTTTTTCTTGAATTGAAGAAATTTGATTGCTTCAAAGGAATTTGATAGGATGCTTTAATAAATAAGCCTGTCTAATATTAGTAGACGAAAACAAGTTCGTTGGACAGTTTTTTTCTGTGATCATTCATTCACAAACTGAAATGAATTGTTTCGGCTCGATAACAAATGATTTTGACGAAGACAACGTCATTATTATTTGTTTTCAATTTTTATAAGAGAAATATTAAATCAACGGATAATTTGCTTGCAAACAGATCATCGGCAAAGATATTTTTGATAATGTCTTCTATATTTTCATACATAATTTATCTATTTTATGATCAATATTTCGTATAGAATTCTTAATCTATGCTTCACTCATTACATGTTTTTTTCCTCTGGATCATTCGTGAAGCTCGAGCTCTTTATAAAGATGATTCTCATGTGACATATAACAAGCACCTACGATATATGCTGATTGTGCAACGCTCATAAATGTATAATCACTACGAAAAATAATAAGTAATTGATCGATTTCATCAATAGATATCCGGTAAAAAAATCGTTTTAAGCAATTCGCTCAAATATTCAAGAAATAGCTTGGGTCCAGTCTTGTCAAGAGGGCACGAAAATTGTCTACTGACAAAAGATATTTTTGTTGAAACAACCAATGTGAGGTTCAGTGATCGGTCATGTCGAAACGAAAAATCGAACCCGGTGGGTTCAGCTGTTTAGATGACTGAAGAAAAAAAAACTTACTGTAACTATCGATGATTTTCAAATTTACAGTCTATTGCTGTTTTTATTTTTAAATGAAAAAATTTTCTATACTTCATTATATATGAAATAATACATTGTATAAAATTCTATTTCAGTTTATGATGCATTGAACACGAATTGAAAAGCGATAATGAATGTCTACACATATTTTGTACATGAATGTGTCGACTTCATTAGTAGGTCAAGAAAGTGAATTGAATCGATGTACAAAAAAAAATGTTTGTTACAAGAAGAATAATCGATTTGAATTTAATAGAAGACAAGCAGCAGATGGAGAATACACTCTATGCTATTATCGATAGACAAGTAAAAAAAAAGAGAAAAGTTTCATTGATGCAACAGAGTGTAATATGTGATAATGATGACATGAAATATGTTGTCTATGATTGAGATCTTGCAGTGAGTCATACTTGAATTTTTCTTGAATAGACTTTATATCTCTCTTATCTTTCCGAAATGAAATTAAAAAGAGAGAGAAAAAAATAACAACAAGCTATTATGAAATGTTAATCAATATGATCAAAAACTATGCATAGTTCGACTTAATCCCAAGCATAATACCAGCAATTATAGGTGACACTTTCGTTCGTGATATTCTCTTGATTCATCAAACAAATATTTTCTACATCGAGGCAACATATTGTTCAATTTTTATTAGCAAGCAACATCTATGCTTCTTTTGTTCTTGTATACGTAATAATAATGATGATGAGGAAGAGAACTGGTCATCCCATCGGTAGACATTTGAGTTGAGCAGAAGTTTTATATGGTTTAACTGTCCGAAAGATTCTACATATAAAACAATTGACATTTTTTTTAGAGATAAGGAATGATATTGTTTAATATGACATATGATGAGTAGAAATCAGTGTGATGTAAGAATAAGTATTTTATAGGACAACTAAATATGAACGCTTGTATAATTATTAAATTGCGTTCTTTTTTTTCTTTTTTTTTTGTTAGGCAAACAACGCTTAGAATTGAATCGATAATCGATTTACCTGGTTTTGTGTTTAATGAATTCTTCTAATGGCAATGTCATCGAATAAGTGTTTGAAAATAACAAGACCAACCTTCAAAAATTTATAGACATTGTCAATAATGATCTTCTCGTATTTCACAAATATACATCGATGTTTTATTATAGATCAAGTATCTTTAATTTTATTAAACCATTTTATCCATTAAATCTCTATTCCATGTTCGATCGGAAATCAAATTGTCTTAATGATGTAAGTATCCGTATCCAATTGATTTTGTTATGTTGTATTAAAGCGAGACAAAACAATGTGCATAGAAGAAGAAAAAATTGAGAGAAGCCAATTTGATAATCTGTTATTTTGTCTTCCCATAATGTATGTTTGTCTTTTTTCTTTTTTCTAGCCTTGTACATTCAAATATTTGTCTTGTTTTTCTTTTTATTTAACGTATAAATTGTTATTATAGGATTGTCCGTCCTCTTCTATTACTGCCATCACGACTTCAAAATCTTATTTTCGATCGATCGTGCTCACCAATAATATGAGAAAAAGACGTCTCTACACATCAAAGTAAGTTCTGACTGATCGCAATGAGCTGTTTGTTTGTCAGTTAGATCATAATGAATGTTGATCTGTATATAAATATTAATCACTAAACAGAAGAGTTATTTTGCTTTATGTATGTTTGAGAAGAAATCACAAGTAATGAACATTGTCTCGCCGCATTAAGACAGAAATGATTGAATAAGCAAGGTCAGCTGTTTTTCTTGTAATCGATGTATGTGTGTGTGTGTGTATATGAATGAACAGACTAGATCCTTTGAACTTTTCCGGCAATACTTCCTGATTATCCAAACATTCTTCGTATAATTATTGTCATTAACACTTCTCAGCGTGAATGTCTAGTCTCTAAACTTCTCATGATATGTTGTAAAACAAGGCGGAGTGGGTTAATTTATTGAATTAATCTGATTAGTTTTTACTTAGATATCCTCCGAATGTGAAAGGTTACTCACTTAAAGGTTCATCTCTGCATTCCATGAAATTTCCTTTTTTCTTTCTTTTATTCATCAATGTTGAAAAAACGATATATATATATATATTACTTGTTGTCATTGAATGCGGAAATCACAATCATTTTCTTTACCAATGAACATCAACTAAAAAGCAATTTAATCGTATATTTATTCTACTGACCACCACCACCATCATCCTCATCTATTCCTTTTTCTTGTTCTTCTTCGTTCACTCTCATTCTCTATTCAGTTAATAAGTAGACGAGAAAAAGACCGTAAGTGTGTGCGTGTGTTTGTATGTTGGTTATTAGTTGGGGCGTTTGGTCCTTTGTGTGACACCTCTCCTCTCCTCTCCTATGTGCACAATTCTCTTTTCCTATTCTCTTCGTTAAATCAAAAGATGCTTTGAACCCGGATGTGCTGCATTCGACCAGCTACTCTGCTTGATTACATCATATTCATTGACTAACTACGTACTAGATTCTATTGTTGACTTAAAGGTAGATTGAAGAAGAAACGCATTTCTCTTCTACACTCCGAGAGACATATGCTTCCTTACGTTTTCTTATTCATTTATTTCACTTTCTCTTTTTTTTTTTTATTAAATACCTAAATAAATCAAGGCTGAAAAATTATTTTCTCTTATATAAAACTCTTAATATTGATCTTACATAATAGTAATCATATATATATGTGTGTTATTTCGTAAGATAGAATTAATTAGAATATTTTTATGTGCGCTGGAAGATCAGATGGTCACGCTATATCTTTATTAAAAAAAAGCACAGAGATACACTTTGTCAGTATTAGTCGATGAATTATTGATATAGACTCTCGAGGAAAAAAGTAAGAGGCGGGACACAGGGCGCATGTACTACACTTGCTTCTAATTGACCGTAAATAGAAATAAACACAAACTAGCCCAACAGATCTCCAGTTGTGCGTATGTCAAGTGACAATCGTCGATAACGCCATGTGTTCAGCTTTTTATTTTATAATTGGCACTGAGAAAAACAGTTTATCTTTCCCTTTACTATCATCACCTATAGACAAAAAAAAAGAAAATCATCATTTCAGATTATCCGTTGATCAAATTCATCTTTTATTGATTTTGTTTTTTCTTCTTCTTCTTCTTCCTCGTCGTCTATTCTTGTCATAATCATCTCCGAAAAATGAGATAATCGTATTAGACAGCGACAAAATTTCTAATTAATTTAATAAAAAAAACTAACAAATCTTATTCATTAGTATGCATACGAGGTAGACACACATACCGGAACTGGATTACAAGACAAGTGTGTCATTTGTACAGAAGAGAAATACATAAATGAAATATTTACATATCATAGTGCATCCCAAAAAAAAGCCATTATTTCTTTTTTCTTTCTTTCTTTGAAAATGAAATTGTAGAATGTCAGTTGAGAGATCATGTATAACCTTGAACGTGAATGTTCAATTCGTAGATCTATATGATGTATATTTACTTTTTTATAATTCATCGATATATGTTCGACATTAGCCTATACTACTTGCGTCATTGCCTATCACATTGAAAAAAGAGATGACACATTTCTTCCTCTCGAGCTTAGTTTAATCAACTAGAAATTAGAGCCATGTCATTTTCTTTTAGTTTGCCTTCATCATCACAACGAATGATGATCAGCGATGACCATAAGCATACGATTGGACTTATGCAACAACAACAGCCGTCGTCTTCATCATCCGTCAATCATCTTCAGTCGTCTAGTTTTACTATTTATGATAATAACCATCATCCTCAATTAACACCAAAGAAATCTATTTCATCATCACGGGTAAGAAGAAAAAAAAAGTAAAAATACATATGTATACAGAAATACATTTTTTTTGCATAATAATGGTCATCATCGATCGACTGCTATGATATGCATACATGTCAGTAGTCCTTCAGGCTACTGCACATATATGTGTGACAAATAGCCCGTGACTCTTGTTACGTAGTTGTATAGATAGATAGTTATCAATTGAACATATGATCCTTGAACTGATGTTATATAGAACAATTATGAAATCATAAAGTGAACAGAAATAAATATATGTATGTATGTATGTATATATATATATATTCTTTTTTTTCCTATCAATAATCAGATACAGACGTCGATTACAGCAGCAGTTCCTTCTTCTCCTTTCGGCTGACCGATGTAACTAAATATGATAATTGGTCTCTATTCATGTATAATTTTGTCTCTATCGATTGACTGGACTGGACACACACGAGGAAACGGATGCATCAGTAAGAGAGAAAAAAGAGACTACGTCGGAATCGAATTGACAATGACTTTTGAGACAAAATAATGTCACCAGAGATTCTTCTGTCTGATGATGTTAATGATAATTTTATATAGAGATATAAATATATATTATATACGTGTCGCATTGTTTAGATTAGACTCGGTCTACGATGTTTATATCCATTAGATGTCAACCAAAAGCAACAATTCGATCAGATCTTTTCGTCTAATGAAAAATCAGCGAACATTAGTGAATGTATATTTAATCAATGTATATCACGTTTAACAACAAATTATATCAATACATTAATTATACTTTCTGGTCAATATCGTGAAAGTAAGAAGAAATCTATTAGTCTTTGATGATATTGATTTATTTATTTTCTACAGTTAGTCAACTTCAAAGTACACTTATATCATTGGCCCTCAATCATTTGTATTATTTTGTCACCGAGCAAAATACAAATTTAAGTTTACAGATTAGTATTGAAGAATTTTCAAGCGAAACAACAAAAACCATTCTTACGTCACGAGGTAAATATTTTTAATTATATTATTTTTTATTTTAATTATTTTTTTCGTCTAGGAAAATCTTTACTATTAACCAGCGACTATTCAGTGACTTGTCCTATCCAAACATTTCAATATATCAATCATATCTGTTCTAATCATAAATCTTTTCCGCTATTAATAACATTTCATCTTATTAATCGTTTGTCAAATATCAATTGTGTACAACTTCATCTACTTTCAACAAATGATGATAACGATGATGAAACACGAACAACTAATAATAATAATAATAATAGTCAAGAAGAATTTTCTAATCTTCTCATGTCATTGGCGTTAGCTTTGCCGTCAAATAGACAGAAACAATCGTACCATTTGCCTAAGTAAGTTTTAGTTGTTTGCCATATCAAACTAATTACACTATTATACATGTGTCTTTCTTCTACGTTAATCTTTCTAACATATGTAGTCTATACGCGATTCTCTTTTTGTTTTTTTGTACAATAGTAAACGCAACAATTATAAACAATCATTATTCTCTTTAACATCAATCTTGAGCGAATTCGTGATCAACAATATTGACGAACCTTTTTTGTATATATTTGCAACTGTTAACAACGACAAACAATTGAAATATTGGAGTAAAATTCAACGATTATTTAGAACAAAACGTAATCGAATAAAGGTAAACATCTAAATCATTTTCTTGATACGGTCTCAAATATCATCAGAACGATAGATAATATAATGCCTGAAGCTTGATATTCGAGTGGATATTTATATAATTAGATATCAAGATAGTATATACAAAAAGGAACAACTCAATTACTATAATAGTAAGAGTGTTACTATTCGATATCGATTCTGTTGGCTTTCGTTTTCTTTATTATTTCCTTTCTAGATAAGAGTCATAAACACAAATATTCAGTGAAGTATAAAAATAAATATTCTAAACACAGGATTCGTAAGACCATTTAGTGCATGTTGATGTGTTCGAAAAACGTTTGCCGTGTCTATTTTGAATGTTGTGAATATTTAAAGTTTTGTTTCATAGAAAAAAAAATAGGGCAAGGAATCGATCTAATCATATAATTAGATCAACGTATTGTACAACTCATCGATTCAAAGTAAAATGAAATTCTTCCAGAGATACATGAGAATTTTAAGAAGAACACATTCTTGATGAACCGAACGGAAACTTTGATTGTTCGCGTTCGATGGTTATTTTCTTCGCGATAGTAATTTTTTGAGTAGCGCTGATTTTTGTATTTTGTCTAGGATAAGAAATATTGAAAAATATCTTATCGGAGCTCTTTTATTTGCAGCATCGAGAAAGACATTTGACATTAGAAAAACAAAACAAAAAACGTCTTTTTTCGTTTCAGATGTCTCGTGATTCAGCTTCCATTGAAACAGTGATAAATCGTCCTAATGGAGAAATATGGGTTGATGGCCCATTAAGTTCTTCCAGTCATAAAAATGAAATATGGATTGATGGCCCACGTGATTTTTGTCCTCGATCGCCTAAAATTTCTCATCTAAAATTGACACCCAAACATCGTTCGAAAGTGATGCTTACGAAACCTAAACATCCTCCTACTGTACTTTCGCCCAGACACACATTATCACTCTATGCTCATAATGATATTATTGATGAAACGGAATTATCAAATGCATTCGAAACTGAGTCTATTGTTAGTTCGCATTGCCACCTACCTGTTTTACCAGTATTTAAAGATCATTCATTACTTCCATTTCGTCCGCCTCCAACACCTTCAATTACGAAACCAGTTCTATTAGAATCCGTAAAAATGAATTTAAAATTAAGTACGGATCGATTAAATGATGATTTAGAAATGCTAGAAAAAACACTTGAAACATTATTAGTACCATCGCCTATTGTTCCAAATAAAATCGAGAACGAACCATTAATGAGCCAATCATTAAACCGTATGGATCAATTATCATCAACGATGTCGAATGATGAAAAAAATAAACGGCTATCAAGAATCGTATCGCCAACACGTTTCGATAGAATTCTCTCGCCAGAAAATTATCCACCATCTGTTCCCAGTTCACCCTACATCATGTCTAGAACTCGACATTCACGAACACCAAATCATTTAACACAATTATCAAAAAAACCTCAAGTACCCGTACGTACAACAAGTCTAGCCGAAACCAATCCTCGTCCGTCTATATTTCAACGCTTATTCGGTTTACGTTCATCAGCAAATCCTCAACAGCCAGTTGTTGTTATTCAATCACCTCCATCATCACCTTTAATATCACCATTAACAGTAACATTAGATTCTCATGATGATCTAATGCCATTAACAACAAGTAGTACAGCTTCGTCTGCATCTGGACGTGCTAGTTCAAGTGGTTATGAATCAATGAGTAACACGATATTAGAAGAAATGATTGCTTCAATACCCTCAAATCTCACCAATGGAACAAATTCAATTAAAACACGAAGTAAATCAGTAAAGAAAGGTAAGCATTCATCATAGACCTTTGTAGTAATTCGAAAATAAAGTGAATTCACATGTTCACTGTATTCTGCATGTGAATAGGTTTGATAAAGAAAAGAAATCATTTTTTCTGTTTGGATAAAATGATATCATGAGTCTGAATTGTGGTTAATACTGAATAATATGTTTTCTTAGAAACAAAGAACTGAAGATAATATTCTGTTTTTGCTTCTCTCTAGATCGACGATCGAATAACACTGCAGTATGGAATAGTCCGATAGTAAGAAATTCATACCGCGAAATATATCCCTCTAATATTGTTTTTTTTTTCCACATCAAATAGGTTCATGATAAATCTCATCATCAACAAAGATTATCAGAATTGAAACATCGTCAAAATGAACTGAAATTGGAATTAGCTATGACAAAAGCATTTTTACTCATCGATAAAAATAAAAGTCTCGATCATAATGATTGTAAGCGTTGTAGATTTTATATTGTGACTCATATTAAATTCTTCTTTTTCTAGCTCTTAATTCAACGATGAATAATAGTCCACTACATGCGGTTATATCAACTAGTTTTAATGAAGAAAAAGAACTTGAAAAAGATATTGAGTATTTGGAAAAACGTTTAGCATCGGCTAAATCACAATTATTATTTCATGCTTATCAGAAAAATAAACAATTTAAATCTTAGAATGATATATATGAATATATTGCAATTTTTTTTGTTGTTTGCTGTTTTTTTTTAGTATGCTTGTTTACTATATGAGAAGGGAAAATCCTTGTATATAAATACAGAATCGAAACGTGCAAAAATGTTCATATACGCGCATAGATTATGGAGAGACCCATAGTTTTTATAGACGTTCATGATGATGGTTCATTAATAGTTTGTTGATATTGTCGTTGGAATGTTACCGAAGCAACAACACCATGAAGAAATTGACATAGTTGATAAGCCGCTAAGGAACATCTCTTAACTCGTTCAGGCTCACACTCTGGACGAGCCAAAATAGATTTAAGATTTGTCAGCTGTTCATCAGTAATTAGATCCTTGTCTAAGTTTATCAGCATATTTATTAGCTGGTTAACTTGGCTACCCAACCATTTTCGAATTTCATTCCAATCTGACATACGTCTGCTTGGAACCAATAAAACAGTCAACCCCTCAAATACGTAAATCACACTGAGTGGTGGTTGACGAAATGCCATGAGCTCTGTGATCCCAGCTTTGGTAATTACTTCTACACTTCGTTGTGCTTCTAGAGAACAAAAAAAAATAATTATGAAGGTATGAATTGCTGAAATATTGAACCTGATAAAGCTGCAACCATAGTTTCACGATCAATGCTTGACGACATCACTTTCTTAGTATTCGTTTGATAAGTATAATTTATATTTTCAATGAATTCTTGACATACATATATATTGAAAGGGAGAGCAGCAAAACAGCCATCCGTCAATGATATGAATAATGCGCACAAAAGAAACATGTTGTTGAAGACTACGTCACCTAAAAGCGTCATTATTTTCGTCATACTTTTTTACTATTGCAAAAGTGATTCAGCGGAGAAAAAAAGCGAGTTGATTTTTTTTTGTCAAGCAGCTACTCAAAAATAAATGTTACAGTGCTTCAGTCGTTTATGCGAAAAGGTAGCTTCAAAGCTTTTCTTCAAAGTTTGATGATTGCAAGTTTTGTCATAAGACACGAATCACTATAGAACTACTTTCTACTCTATCTATTGTTTCTCATCTTAGAATACTTGTGTCAATCAAACTTTCACTATGGTCTTCATAAGCTGAATGAACAATCTATATATCTATTCAATCTTGTTAGAAAATTTTTCGTTAAATACCTTCTGTGTTGGTATTGATCTACACGAGATACATCAACTACAAAGAATAGTGCTATTAGACCAATCGTATTCGAACTATCGTTCTGTACTTCTCATCCATAGTACAGGCTATATTTAAAGGCATCATCGGTGCTATAGTATAATTGCTGGCATCAGGATTTAAATATTCTCTTCGTTACAGTTTCCCCATAAATCGTATTTATCTTGTTTTCATACTGAATTGTGCCCTTATTTCACTCTTGCAGTAAGGTGATCGAAAAATTTCTTTTCTGTTTAACTTATCTCTCTACTCGATAGCTGAAGAAAATGATCATTGTAATTACGAAATAAAAATGTTGATTCTTCGGGGGATAGATGGGATTGGCGAAATGGTAACGTGTTGGTTCCTGGAGAATTAGCATCGTGTTTGAGCATTTTCTCTCGCGTTACCATGCTTGTATAACCCTGTTCTGTTCTACACGTCTGAAGATACTGATTCGTCGATGGTCTTTGCATTCTACGCGCATACAAAAGATGGTTCGAATATGCATACTATTGCTCAAGACTCATGTTATCTTTGCTAACACTTCTGTGCTTGAGTTGCTTTTGATTCTTCCAAAAAAATAATTATTGTAATCAGTACTACGTATGTCCCTTTAGACCTCATCATAAGTAGATCTTAAATAAATCGCATGAATGAAAATGCTGATTCTCTAAACTCCTGATGAATTTTGAAAATCCTGCACCAGTTTTCTAATAGAGAGGCGAAAGGAACTTCATTTTTTGTGAAGATGCATTTTGTTCTTTGCAATCTATGAATATTGTATATATTGAGCAACTAATGAGTTTCCATAATTATGGCCGGATTTTGACACACTCCCGCACATCACTTCGTGGGATCTACATCTTTCATTTTATAAAAAGTTGATGCAACAGTTTTAAGCTGTTGTCAAGATAAATCAAGTGAATATGCATGAAAAATATTCAAATCTGAAAAAAAACGAGAATTAGAACATTGGATGGTAGAATACTGAGTGACTCATTGTGTTTTCGAGATCTTGACGCTTTAAGTCATAAACTTAACTGATAAGCCGCTGGAACAAGTTTTTAACCCATCTAGGCTCGCATTCTGATCGAACCAAAATGGATTTAAGATCTTTCAGGTGCTCATCCATAATCTGACATACGGCTCAACGAAGTGTCGTGATCTCTATGATTCCGGCTGCTAGTGAACGGAAAACACAATAATGATGAAAATAATTGATGAAATACTGAACTTGCTAAATATGAAACCGTAGTTTCACGGGCAATGTTTGATGACATAGCTGTCTTAGTGTTCGTCTGATAAACAATTTATGTTTTCGATGGATGCTTAAAGCGTTTGCATACAGGCCATTCCATTTATTTTGAAACGATTTCACGGGCTCATTTTTTCACCAATAAATGATATAGATTTTATGATTCTTATTTCAGTTTATCCTACCAAAGTTAGATATGTTCTAATGATATTTATATTTTAGATAAAAGAATGCCTCGAAATAAAATATCGGATAATATCGAAGGTATCGTCAAATATATTTTGACGAAAAATTATTCATACTATGTGATCCAGCAAGAACTAGCACGAATGAATTTGAATGTATCGAAAAGCACTATCAGTCGTATTGCTAATAAGGTTGGAAAACAACGGCAATTATGTTTATTGAATAGTGAAAAACCAAAGTTTCATCGTCGTCGTCATATAGCAACACCTTCCATAGTTCGCCGTATTACATCATACATTAATCAAGAAAATCCCCTAACCGTTTCTTTAATGGCTGCAAGATGTCACATTAGTGTTGGTACCACGTTTCGTACTATTCGTGATATTATCGATGCAAGATGTCGTAAAAAAACGCCAGTACACCGACTTTATCCAGCTATTATTGAAAATAGATGATCTCGAGCTTGGCGTATGTACCGACGATTATCAAATAAAAAGTATAAGAAATATCTAACTACCGATGAAGCATGGTTTTATCTCGATGCTAGTCGAGGTATAAGAGATATATATTATGTTAGAAGTAATCAACTACCAGCAGAAATTAAAAAAATTGAAAAAAACGATTTACATCCTGTAGCTGTAATGGTTTGGGCTGGTGCCAGTTCACATGGAAAAACTCAAGTATATTTTATTGAACATGGGACTACAATAACCAGCAAATATTATATCGAACACATCATAGAGCCACTTATTGAATATGATATCTCTCGTTTATTTCCTGGTGATATGCAAAAGAAAATGGTGCTGCATCAAGACAGTGCTCCTGGTCATGTCGCGAAGTATACAATTTCTTATATGAAGGAACACAACATTAATGTTATAATACCGCTTGAGTGGTTACCTAAGAGTCCTGATGCTGCACCAATGGACTATTCAATATGGGGGATTATGAAAGAACGAGTACGAAAGCACAAAGTGTCAACACTGAAAGGACTAAAAAATGCTATAAACGTTGAGTGGGAAAACCTTGAGCAAGAAATTATCGACAACGCTTTGGAAAGTTGGGCAAAGCGTTGTAGATTAATTTACTATGCCCATGGATCCGATATCGAACATCTTTTGCAATAACTGCTTTAAAGTAGAAGAAGAAAAAGATTTGTATTTTGTTTCAAAATAAATGGAATGGTCTGCACATTTCGAACAAAAGGCGATCAACTGCGGCTGAAGAATACAAGCTGTTTAAGTTCAATTTAATTTGAACTGATTTGGTTCTAATTAAGGGAAAACGCTTACTAAGTATATTTAAACGCTGAGTTTTTTAGTCATAATCATTTTAATCCTTCCCATTTTGAAAATAAATGTGGAAACTTCGGATTTTCATCCGAGAGTTATGTGTACTGCAAAAAGTGCATGCGACATATGAGTCATTCTAGAATGCCTGAACACGAAAATTATCATGAGAAACTAGACAATTTGATTTCTGGATGCAGTTTTTGTGCATTTTGAGACGTTTTTCAGGCGATGTTTTGTTAGAAAGCTATGACTTAGTTCAAAACTAATATCAGATTTAGAATCAGCGTTAAAAACTGAGTCGATTTATATATGTTGTGAATAATTCTGAGAAAATTTTTTTTTTGAAAAATCCCTGTACTCCCCCTCAGGGATGGTCTGATCAAAAATGACAATTTTTTCGACAACTCAGCCATTTCTTGACGGATCCTTCTCATCTTCGAACTCGACCTAGATATTGATAAGACAATTCTGTGCACAAAATTTCAGCTCAATCGAATGTAATTGTGAAGAGTTATCGAATAAACGGACGGCCGGACACACTGACCGATTCTATAGTGTACTCTTTTTTTTTTGAGTACACAAAAAACAAGATTTGAACGATATTATGCTCAAAATATAATTTATTACACGAAAAAATGTTTCGATAGATTAAATCGAAAATGGTGGATGCAGCAAAAAAACATTATTAATTAACTCGTATCTTATCAATATCATTGATATCAATTGAAGCATGTCAAGTTTAGAAAATCAATATTTTCTCGGTCCTTCAATAATCTTTGGAAATCTATCTAATGAAAAACCTAATATCATTGCCTACTATTTTTTTATTCTTGAGACAAACTCTTTTTCTTCATCAATACAATCAATGTCTAGTGAGTCATCTTTACGAAAGTCAAGTTGATCGTCATGAAAATATAATTATTGAATAACTTTCAAATTACAATTATTTTATTGATTACAGATATAAACCGTCAAAGCTGATGTATATTCATTTAAAAAAACTTGATTGAAACCTGATTATATTAATATTGACATTATATATTGTCATCAATTATTTTTATTAAATTTTCATATTAAAATTATACATTTTGTTTTAGATAAAGGAATTAATAAAGAAAATTTAATCATAAGCACGTCATGTATTTATTGAAAAAATAGCAATAAAATAAAACTTGCAGATTGAAAAGAAGTATATATCAGGTTTGTATTCAATAACTAGGTTTAAAATAGCTGAGAACACAACCATCAGCTGGATAAATTGTGGGTAAATAAATGATTTTATCCTTATTGGGTCGATCAGCACGTTCAAAATCCATACCACTTAAAAGAGACATAAATAACATAATATGATTCATAGCATAACGTTGTCCAAGACATAAATGTGGTCCAGCACCAAATGTTAGAAAATTTCTATCGAATTTGATATGTTCTTTTCTTTCTTCGTTAAATCGATCTGGATCAAATTTTTCGGGATCAGGAAAACCGACACGATTTGAACTCCAAATACTTGGAATAACTATAGTTCCAATGGGCGCTGTATAATCTTCAGAAACTTTTACGGGTTTCTTCGCAAGATGAAGAGCAATTGTAGCTGGTGGACGTAATCGTAAAAGTTCTTTCATAACTTGCCATGTATATTTCATTTGTGGTAATAATTCAGTTGTAATTGGAACTGATGGATCAGGACGAAGAGCTTTTTGTTCTGCACGAACTTTTTCCAGAACATCAGGATGTTTACAGAGTTCATGAACAGCAAATGTTAACGAACTAGTTGATGCATCTTGTGCAGCAAATAGAAAATCTAATGCAATTTTAGCCATTTCCTCATCGGTACTATGTAAAGGTCTAGGTTGATTGTTTTGTTGTGCGTCATGAATTGATTTAAGAGTTGAAACTACCCAAAAATCGATTAAACAATCAGGTTCTTCTTGTTCCATTGACATTCTTTGTTTACTTTTGGTGACAATAGATTGTAAAGATCGACGAATCGATTCAGCAGCACGAACACCTTTATAAAGTTGTGTGCCTGGAAAATAAATCGGAGGTGCAAACATTCCACGAGTTAAATTTGTGTAATCATTTTTAAATTGTTCACGAGTTTCATCTGTTATGTAAGGACCAATGAAAACTGATAAACTTGTATTCATATTTAAATCATAAATTAATGGTCGCATTTCTATACCATTGTTTGATGCTTTACTCATTTCAATCCATTTGTTCATATGATCACGAATTGCTTTTTCTTGAATATGTAAATAAATTGATAGAGCTTTTGTAGTAAATAAAGGTAATAATGCTATGCGTAATTTTTTATGAACATCACCATTCATAAACGCGATATTGTCATGTCCTAATAAACGAGTTGCATTTGGATGTAATACCAATGGCATTTCAGATGAACATCGCTCAAAAATTCGTCTACTATTTTCACTATCAGCTATTAGTACAAAAAAACGGCCAATAATAGAATTCCAACTTAATTTACCGTATTCCATTTGGCCATGCCAAAAATCGTACGGTGCCTGAATCATTTGTATTATACTACCAATAAATGGTACAGTTAATATGGGACCAGGAAGAGAACCACGTTTAGACATATAGACAAATTGCTCGTGTATATATGCGACTGTAAGACCGAACACAATTATTGATAACCAAACACTCATTGTCCATGAGTTAATCACATCCAAACCAGTTAATAGCGGTGAAATCATCACTGGATAGTATTCAATCAATAAGAGAAAAAGAAAACGAAGATATATATATATGCTCTGTTGAGAGCTTGAGAATAATGTATGAGATGAAAATAAGCTTTCGTCTATCAACTGTCCTTGAAGGACAACATTTCGTTCATATTTTTTCTTCGTCTCAGATATTGAAATGTTTTTTTTTTGTTTTTATTTACAGGTGAGTACTAGGGAAACAACAAACAATTAAAATCGAATGTTCTCAATAACAAAATTTGGGGGAAGAGAGCAAAAAAGGAACCCTGGAATTTTATTACAACAGCTCTGACGTTTGTATGCATATGATGCATCTACGGAGCCCACATAAATAAATTAAAAGAACGCAAAAAACAGTCGTTGTTTTTTCTCTTCAGGTATTCATATTTTTATACGTACGGATGACTAGTCACAGATGGTAAGCAATCAGAAAATAATGTCTTTGATCATATGAATAAGAACGGGAAAAATCAGCTTTTTCATTTAGACAGCTTCCTCTTTTACAGCTCCAAAGACGTATTTTATTCAAACAAGCCCAGCGAAAAAAAGGCGAAACACAGAACGCAAAAGAAAGCCCGCTTGCGTCTGTTAAATATAAATTTGCGTAAAACATCACCAAGGGCACCCAGAGAAACAACGTACTGTTTATCGTCTCTTTAATCATAAATCAAAATATGAAATTCGATTTTCTTTTCTATGGTAACTATCTTAGTAACATTTTTAAAAACAGTCCAAGGGGAAACAGTTAAATTTATAGAAAATATCAATAACAAGAAATATTGAATCATAATACAATTCTATGGCAACGTTATGATTGTCACCGCCTGCATGGTAGTAGTAAAGTTTTTCAACGACCAACACATTGCAACCATGACGCAGATAATGTTTATAATAACATGACGACAGAGCTGCGCAACTAAAATAGCTATTTTTTGACTTAACAACGTTGACATGACTACATGTATTTGTATAGAATTTTAATGTTTACAAATGTAAAATAAATTGATACTAAATGGCTTCCATGAATTAGTAAACACATCGCTCATTCATTGCAATGATGTCAGTGGTTGTTGAAGGACGTTTTTTGTTTTTACTAGAATCATACTAAAAAACCAGTTTGAAACCGTAATGAACATCTTTACTGAATCAACAACAATAGAATATGGTTTAAAGTAGATATGATCTATCATTTTTTTAAAAGGATTTTCCATTCATATTTTTTAGTCAAAATGTTTTTTTTTAAATCATTTGATAAGGTTTCGTACGATTTCGCTTGCCAATGTGCTCAATGATACACTAGTTTGACAAAGCAAGCCTTTGCCAAAACAAAATTATAAATAATAAACGATCTTTTAAATTTGTACTTTATATTTATTCATCTTCAAACAGTCGGATAGATAATGTGTTAAGTTGAAATCTATTATACAATTATGTTGTTTTTATTAATTTTTCACCGGATTTCTATTCACGAGGGTAGAATTTTAGACCTTGCCTGTTGAAACTGAATACTTCAAAATTTAATATGCCATTTCACTTGTATATCAAAATACTTTTGACGCTCACAATCCAATGTCAACACAAAACAAGGCATTGGTACATAAATTATACGTAGTAGGATTGTATGAAAGAAAATAGTTTACCAAGTAAAACAAGTTGACACTTGCTACTTATCACACTACGAAAAAACTACGGCCTATTTTCTGTCCATAACTGTGTTTATTTCTAAATATTATTTTTGAATTATTTTACCATAAGAAAAACTTTATTGAAAATACTTAAAAGAATGTTTCCGGTAAATCAAAACCATTACAAAATATGTCCCATTTATGCTTTGGTATGTCTTCAAAAACTTTATTTAGACGATTCTTAAGATTTTTGCTTGATACGCGTATAAAGATTTTTAAAATTCTTTCTGGATATTGCCTATAAATAGTCGCATAAATTTCTGGATCCTTTTGAAATATATCGCCAAATAAAATAAATTGTCTTGAACGAGTTTCTTGAAAAAACATTTTTAAAATTATTGTTTTTTGTTTTATGAATGATTTTGATGAAAAAAATTGAAAAAAATTCATATCAAACCATGTAAAATGCCGCATGTGATAAGAACCCAACGGAAATTGTTCACGTTGTAAAAATTCACGTAAAAATGGATATAATTGATCGGGTGATGCAGTTAAATAGTGAAATGTTGCATTATAATATGATTCATAATGGCGATAACGTTCAGACATACCTGGAACTGATTTATATTCACCAGAAAATGTATTTCGTAGTACAGCACGAACGCTTGTTACTCCTGTAATTTTAATAGTATCATCCTTAAATAGATAACAAACATTGGATTGAAATCCCTAGCATAATACCTTATAATGACAAAACTTATGTTCATTCTCAAATAAATACATATAACTTCGCACCTAATCAATAGCTATAGAAAAGAGAATGTATCTCTTTTGTCTACACCATGTTTCATTGTGATAGAAAAAGAAAGAGAATCGTTTTTTTTAATTGATCTAAAAGTGTTTTCTCTTCACATCTTATTAGTTATCGATTTCAAATAGAAAAAAAATTATATATTGCCGTAAAAACTTCATCTATGACGGTACTAAGTCTATTTATTTAGCCGATCAGGATATCCTTTGTTTATTAAAGCATCAATATATTCAACGTAGCAGTAGTGCATTTTAATTATCATTCTTTTTTGTCTGTTCAAACAAAAAAATAATCTCTCGTATAAAACTTACAATATCACTGATAATCGATATTCCATTATCATCACATAGAAAAATTTCTCCTTTTGTTTGAATTTTTTCCCCACGTGCGGATACAAAATATTCAAGTTTTCCATATGTTCCACCCGTTACAAGCAAATTTTGAACATTTTCGTTTGGTAATTGAAATTGTTTTTTAATTGAACCATGTGCATCGGTTTTCGTACACATCTCATGAGGTAAACCATCAATACATACCGTTTTATACTTTTTTCCATTTGCTGTAAAATAAGCAACACGTTTTTTATCTATATTATGAACGATTGCAAATAGTGCAGATTTTGATAATGTTGCACGAATACGATTTCCTTCCAAAAACCAGCCTAAACAAAACATCTTTTTGTGAAATAATGGAAAGTATAAAATAAAATTTAACCTTGAACATAGAGAGTCCAATCATTTGAAGAATGATTATTAATCGCTGATTCAATCTCATTTGAACGATAACGAAAAGCAACTGATGGAATCAGTATTAATTCTTTTTCACGAGAAAATAAAAAATTTGCTGTTAGAATACATCGATCAAGTATAAGAAGATAGTTAATAATGTTTACAACTTTCAACATCGTTTAAAAGAATACAACAACAATATCCAATATCAATCCATATATTATTTCTCCATACTTTATCAATGATCAACATGCCAGCTAACTATTTCCCTCTTTATCCATAGTATATTTTGTGTTCTCATCTCAGTACATAGCTACAAATCGTCTGATTTTCTTTTCTGTATTGTATCATTCAATTAGAAGTTTTTATATGTCGATTGTCTTTATTTTTCCGTAGTATTATTTTTGACAGCGGAAGAACAATTGGAGATATTTGCTGAAATACGCTTATGAAATAAACTAAACATCAACAACTGACATAAATTCTTTCATAAGACAAAAATCAGCTGCAGCCGAAAAATTTCGTAAAAAGACTACAACAAATTCAAGTAAAACTCAGTTATCTTTTCGAGAAAAAATGTTTTTAAAATCGACTAAAATAACATGCCACTACAATCGTTTGAGTCATGGAAATTCAATGGACAAAACCTGATCGTAATAATTTATTCTAATAGTCTTAATTAGTGTTTTATCTTGTTTTCCTCACATTCATTTCTTGACTTGACAAATTTTATTGTCATCGACGATCAAATCGCTGATTAAGTATATCCCATGCAGAATAATAAATATTTACCGTACACAAATACCAAAGCCCTTTTTTTTCGTCGACAACACAATTATCTGTTCAATCATGCTCAGATATGTTCCATGTTATTTTTATTGATAATTTGTGCAATTTCAGCATGAGAGTTGCAACAATATGAGTAAGAGTTGAGATATGAGGAACAGTCGAGTCAGGCGGATGAAAATGATTGATTAATTATTAATTGTTTTCTTTTTAAAAATAGCATTAGAATTAGAAGGAAAACTTGATAGAGATTAAATTTAAATTGCCATTCTTTGTTTCAGATTATGATGATGGTTGTAATTCTATTAGCTATATGAGCGTGTGGGAGTCAGGTGCAGTTGTTTGCATGGGTGGAATTAAACATACTTCCAAACTGTTGCAATCCACGCTCACACGGGCTGGGAAGAGTTATTTACATAGAAAATCGACCTTTTCTTTTGCGAAAAGCATTCGAATTCACTATTCATGCCTGTCCCTAAGTCAGTTCTTCTTTGTTTGAAACCAAACATCAAAATCGAAGAGAAACAGTAAAAGTTGTAGAATAAAAGTAATCGCGTATTTTTATCGGTAAAAAGACGGAGCTGTTTTTTGGTTGCTGAGATATTCGATTGATCAAACAATTCATCTTCCTAATGCTTCCTACACATAATCATAAACAGTATAAATCGTGGAGCAAAAAAAAATCAGTAAGCATTTTCATACCAAAACTATCAACCCTCAACACGAAAGAAATGTATGCAATTGTTGCTGTTTGTCTTATCTGGTGAGCATTAGTTCGAATATTCGCATAATGTCATAGGTTGCTGTTTTAGTTTCTTTCCTCTGTGCACATCTCTCAATTGCTACTCTTGTTCATCAGGAAGTTCAGGATGTAATGATCCATTTAGTTCTTCGGGCTCGGGCGTCTCTACAACAGGATCTATATCATCCAACACGTATTGCGTGGTATGTATCTATTCTGCATTGCATTCTTTTCATGAATACGCGTACTGTTTTTTAGAAATATCAACTGCTCAATACGGTCTCGCGCTATGGTGCATCATCATGCACGCCTGTGTCATTCTCGACTAACTCAGGCTATACTTCAGGGGTAGGATGCTGTCAATCGGATCTTTGTAATGGAGCCCGTACGAGCTATCAAACATCCATCCTGTTCACGTTGATCCTTGCGGCCATCCTCATCAAATTTCAATCAGCATAACGAAGAACAATTATTATCTCCTTAAAAGTGTGTGCTTCATCTTTTTTCCTTATAATCCAACAGCAAGAAAATTCTTTTTTAACGCTTGATTCTTCATTAATTCACAATTCCCACTTTCTAATAGAGATCACATGTAATACTTCCAAAGAAACAAATAAAAACCATTTCTCTCATCCATGCTTTCCTTCAAGCTGTTTGTTGACACGTTATTGTGAACATTGTTATATATATAATGATTCTAAATGATGCAATCAAAGATACAGAGAACAAATCGATTTTCACGAACAGTTGACCAACTTGATCCCTGCCTCTTAAGGAATCAGACTTTGTCTCGCACACGTTTAAAATATTATTGATTAGAATGACAGCCAAAACGAATATCTTTTTTTCTTGAGAATATGCATGTAAGTGGGTGTGGGCGGAATCAAACAAACTTCCAAACTGCTGCAATCCACGCTCACACGGGCTGGGAAGAGTTATTTACATAGAAAATCGACCTTTTCTTTTGCGAAAAGCATTCGAATTCACTATTCATGCCTGTCCCTAAGTCAGTTCTTCTTTGTTTGAAACCAAACATCAAAATCGAAGAGNGTCGAGGGTGTCGGCGTGGCGTGTAACAGCCCGTAAGTGCGCTCAATTCCACGCACACCCACACCCACACACCCACACCCTTGTAGCAGTATATTTTAGGTTCGAGCCTACTCATTTGAAATCTTGCGTTTTCTAGAAATAAATGTAATTTAACACAAGTATTTGATTGATGAATATTTTCTTGAATAAAATATCCTATACTTTGTATATTTATAAACTGACAATTGTTTTTGAGTACCATCTGACGGTGTAGGAGAAACATGCAATATGTATTATGTATACTTTTCTCAGAAACGATAAAATCTCATTCGAAAATAACTCAAGGTATATAAATATAGGAAATAAAAGGATTTTTTTTGTATCAAAGAAATTACTCAGTCAATTGATTGCACGGGGAAAATTAACTTTCTTTCTTAAAATCATTTGAATGCAAACAGTTGTCATGGATTTTGTCTACAACTATTTTGTAGTCCTCCATTTCATGCAGAAATACCCCTAAAAATGATAATACATTTTATTTAAAACATATCCCGTCTATGATTAACGAAGAGTTGGAAAATCACAAATAATAAAAGAAAAGGAAGTATTATATGAGTAAGAATAATTACGATTTTTAGTCGCAGTAAAGTACGCAGAAAAGGATTCAGCTATTTTTATATGAAAAGAAAGAATTTATATTGTAATCAAACGAAATATCAGCGAGTATGGATGAACTTTAGTTTAAAAAAAGCCATTACCTACATTCACATCCACAATCTCAAGATTGCACGTTGTAAATTGAACAATAGGATAACAAATCATTCTTCTCAGCTTTATTTCGTCGGTATATCCAACAAGGATTTCCCCTAGAGTACAGAACGGGTAGTGTATGCTTATTATTCTTCATTGTTTTTTACACTATCATTTGAGAATATACGAAGTGTATCCTTTTATTGTTTGTAGAATGATACATATTGTCATACGATATATAGTGTCAGACTCCGATTACTTCCACATCTTTCAGGAGCAAGATTTACAGTGAACTATAAGAAGCACTAGCTATATGAGAGCTAAACGAGTGGTATAGATGCAGATGAGAGAATGCTCTTCTTTAATAGTTACCCTCACCCCATCCCGTTCCAACAAAACCAAATCCAAAGATTTTTCTACTCTTTGGTGAATCTGTATATGTATAACACTTCTTATTAATAGTGGAGTCCACTGAAAATTCTACAATAGAAGTGGCTGTTGTGCGCTATTGTATCAATAGGCAATGATAATCAACAACTATAACCGAATTAGAGATTCGTTTACATAACATTTAACTAAAGCGAGTCTAACACATATTTTCAGCTCATTGGAGAGCTTAAATTTCTCTTATAAATCATGTTCACGGAGAAAATCGTCCAATTAGATCCCTTCATCTATCACGTTCAACAATTTTATGTCAGTTTATCTATCATTGATGATGACAAGAATCGAACATGTATTGCTATTGTATTTTAGATATTCATTGGATATTCTCATTTTATGCTTAAGAGTACTACTTAAAAGGCTATAAAAGCATTTTCCTTTCTTTTGTTCTTTCTCAACAATGAAACTTCAAGGTGTGATGATGAAAATAAAAAATTCAAATAATAAAAATGATCTCAAGATAAGACATTAAGTAACACAATATATAACTCAATGGCAAGACATAAAAATGGGTTAAAGAAAAGATAAAAAAACGGGAAACTCAAGTAGAATTGTTAATCTTCTGGTAATAAATAATATGTAATACACTTATAAAACAAATGATTCTCTATCATTTGCAGCACGTAAATGTCCAATAGTATTTTTTAAATCTTTCCATTATATACACACACACTTATATAATCGTTTTCACTTCGAAATATATCCCATGACCAACAGTAAGTTATTTCTCTATTGTTCGTTGTAAATTAAAATATTCGAGTTAAAAGTCTTCATCCAGTTGATAGCATATGGATAAGATTCGATAAGTCAGCATTTTAAATCGATGAACTTTGGATATAATAGTTCAGGCACAGAAACGTCTCCTGTTGTCTTTACTGTTCACTTTTGACTTACTCCTTGCTCTAGTCGACAATACAAGAGACTTATTGATTGAAATGCCGTACTGAAATTAGATAAATATCATGTATTTTCTTGCTGAATACAATGATTTTTCTGTATCGTCCTCGGCAGTTTCTATAAAATCAGCTTGTTTCTAGAGTTCACGATTATGGGTATGAACAACTAACGTAAGCCTGTATCTAGCAAGTCATATGGAATACTAAGTTGACTCCATGGTTATTTGAGAAATCTAAATGACTTAGAAGTCTTTAGAATTAAATAAGTATAGAACTATCAGTCAAACTATCTTCACTAGGAGATATTGGTATTCAATCAGATAGGAAGACGGTTATAGAAGAACTTGTAAACTATTTTAGAGACAAATTTCAGGCGCTTCGAAATCGAATTGTTTAGACATCATGGTATACCGATTAATATAATTTAGAAAAAAAAACTCTAGATTATATTAAATTTTGCTTTGAAGAAACAAAACTAGAAGCAACGTGTAGTATGAAAATAATTTCAAGTATTTAAACGACGAGAGTGAAATACTCAGAACATAGCTCGATGTTTTATTTTATCAAATGATTCATTTGCTCCATCTAAAATAATCACGCTAAATAAGTTCTAAATGGGCATCCCTTAAACGAGCCATGTAAAAAATGCCTTTTCTAACTAGTTCATCAGCACTATGCTGAGCCTAGCCATCAAAAGTATAAACTCATTAACTACTTCTTTTCATTTAAGAGCATAGCAGCCCGATCGTCTGTTAGTAGATGACTCAATCGTGTTAATTCGAATGTCTTGCATGATCAATGCTCTTCTTTAGTTCACTATTTATAGATTCAATGTGGTAAAATGTGAAAAAGGATTCGAAACAATTCAAGTAATTGAAAAAGAAACGAATATACTTAGGTAACGCGCATACACATATTGCTTTATTGATAGATAAAAAGTTCACAGTTGGTATTTATGTGTTAAGTCAGATGATAATGATAAAACTTCTTTTCACGACATTTCATATACCTGGACAAGCATAGTGAATAATAAAGATTTCCTGAAGAACATGACAAGATCGTTATAAAAAACTGAAGTAGCTCTAAATTGATAAGATCTTGTTCAAATATACGTACACCATTCGCAACTTCATTCGAGCGTAAAAAGAAACTAGAATTTCTCCTGAGTAGTTCTTCTCCTTACATTACTCTTCCGTAAACAGGCAATTTCGCCAATATAGAAAACTTGAACTATTATAAAATCTTCAGTTTCTTATATTTGATTATTTACATAGTTCGTCTCCTCGTATCTTACTTTTCTATAACTATCCTTTCAATATAGATCGAGAACCAAAAGTAAATTCTAATGCTACACATATTTAACATAAGAATATATTGCAAAAACTGCATAGAACATCTTGTTGAGAAATAGAACTTAAGCATAAGTAGAAAGCTATTTATTTTGATCTGTACTTTTCTAATTCTTCTCGTACGAATATTTTATTTTAAATCACTTGTTTGTTTTATAACTAGATCAAGACGATATTGAATAGAGCAGTCAATTCGTACCCACCCATTATTTTAGCATACGTTTTTACACCAATCGGCAGTATTGTTTCTCACTATCTCCGATTTTTATATGAATTGAATAAGAAGAACAAGTATTCACTAAAAATAAAACGATGTCAAAGTCTTTTGATTTCGAATATACTGAAGTAGATACACATTTCAACAAAGTAATAATCATGTGCCTATCTTTGTAGTATGCCTAATCTTGCTGACTACTCTTCTGACGATTGCTGAGATTGTTGAAAGCGGTCGTATAGATTGGTCTATAGAGAAGAATGCATCATTCTGGAATGAACAAGCACGTTTGGATATTGAGCAAATACTTACTCGAAAAGAGAATAGACGAGTAGCGAAAAATGTCATATTATTTCTTGGTGATGGAATGGGTATTTCAACGATCACTGCTGGCAGAATACGCAAAGGACAAGTCAATGGTCAATTAGGCGAAGATCATAATACTGAAATGGAACAGTTTTTTAATTTGGGTTTAGCAAAAACGTTAGTTTTCACGCTCCATCTCCAGAATACTCATTCATTTTTAAATGAACTTATTTTTTCCTCTATTTATATGTAGATATAACATTGATCATCAGACACCAGATTCTGCAGCGACTGCAACCGCTTTTCTTTGTGGTGTGAAAGCGCAGTTAGGTACGGTTGGACTCGATGGGCGAGGAATACGAAACAACTGTCCTAGTTCAATCGGTACACATGTCGACAGCATTTTGGATTGGGCACAGAAACTAGGTGAACTTTTTTAATTTGATAATTCTTTGGATGACTTTCTTGTTTTCGTGAATTGTAGGGAAAAAAGTCGGCATCATCACCACTGCCCGTATTACTCACGCAACACCCGCTGCAGCATATGCACATGTACCAGAACGAAATTGGGAAAGTTTTGACGGTCGGAATTTCAATGCAACTCATGCAACAGAAGGCTGCACAGACATTGCGCATCAACTTGCCGCTAGGACTCCACCCATAGATCTATTGTTAGGTGGTGGTCGTCAGTTTTTCTATCCAACAACGACATTCGATATTGAATATCCTTCCAAACGTGGTTCTCGTATCGACAATCGGTCTCTTATTGAGGAGTTATGGAAAGGGAAATATATCTGGAATATGACAGAAATGAATAAATTTGAACTTGGTTCGTCACAACCGTTATTAGGTCTGTTCGAACCAAGTCATATGCGTTATGAACTGAATAGAAGCCAGAGCAATGATGATGAGCCAAGCTTATCCCGCATGACTGAATTCGCTATCGAACATTTTCTCAAATCTGAGAAGGGTTTTATGCTTCTTATCGAAGGTGGCAGAATCGATCATGCACATCATGATACGCAGCCGCGAAATGCTCTTGATGAATTTGTCGAATTCGACAATGCCGTTGGGCAAGCCAAGAGAACATTACAGGCTAAGGGCGCTCTTGATGATACTCTGATTGTTGTGACAGCAGATCATTCACATGTATTTACAATGGGCGCTTATTCATCACGTGGTTCCAATATATTAGGTTTTGGATCATTAGAAAGCATGAATATAAGTAATATTGATCAACTACCCGTTAATATCATTGCTTACGGCAATGGACCTAATTTCAATTCACCGCGAAACGCAACTTATTTCAATTCGCTAAATACAAATTCAACCGATTACCGTGCACCCGCAGCGCTACCTTTGAGTGTTGAAACTCACGGTGGCGAAGATGTCGCAGTTTATGCTCATGGCCCATGGAGTCATCTATTTATTGGTACCTACGAACAGCACACAATTGCACATAAAATGGCTTACGCAGCATGCTTAGGTGCCTATGAAACTAGAGATGGATGCTCAAAAGCATCATCACCACGCTTGATCAGCAAGTCGTTACTAGTTTTCTTTTTCCTATTCTCGTTCTTTGATGCGTTTCTTCATACAACGAATAAATAGGTTTGATTTCATACTTATAAGTATAAACTAAGCATTAATACAATTTATACGGTGCTTAGAAGTATCTACGTAGTTGTGTTATTATTATTCAAATTAAATTGTAACTGTAATGTTTTTTCATTAATTCCGTAATGAATCTAATAAAAGTATTAATTCATTTTACAACGAGCTTAGTTGTTTTTTTATTTTTTGACAGCAAGTCCATTTCAGTTGCTCGATAATATATGGATGTAAGTCTTCTAAGTATGCTGATGTCATAATAATAATTTGACAATGATATTACAATCATTTATCAGTAAAAATAACTTCAATGAGCAGTCATTGAACTAATAAAGAAAAAGCTTTTCAGCGCAGCCCCGTTGGGGCTAAAATGTGGAACTCACATATTTCGATCAGTTAGATACTGATCAAATAGAAGTTTTATTTTTTCAGTGTAGTAAGATCATATTTTGTTCAAAAATAAGATAATAAAACCTTTTTAACATTTGAAGCTTTTTGAATCTATCAATAGGAAAAATTACTAGAGAGAACGTATAAAAAACTTTTTGTTTAGAACATGTCGGTATGCTGAAGTGTTTAGTGGTTTCACTGAGAAATATTCTGAATGATAATAGTTTAAACAGTATTTAGGATATAGCTATCAATATTGTTGAGAAATTTATATTTTTTCGTATTATCAGGTGAGAAATTGATACATTTTTTCATACACGAAAATTTGATAAAAGCTTCCCAGTGGATGGAAAAGTAGCGAATTGTAAATACACTAAAGTGGATTCAAGCTCTAGAATAAGGTATCTGTATGAGAAAAAAAATATTAAAATCTTCATCTGTTTATTGTAGGTGGTAGAAGTAACGAGTGTAATAGTAGCATAAACTAGCTGCTAGCTTCTGTAGCGGTAGCATACACTCGTTGTGAACGTCTTTAATAATAATAAAATATAATACTGTCGTAACTATGGGCTATAATAATAAAAATATGCGCTATTATCGTAACTATGGACTATAATAATAAAAACGACAGATTTTGATGATTAATTAGAGACTAAATGCTAATTATAATGATTTCTAATTAGTGAAACTAGATTTTTATTACTGATGTGAGTAGTGGTGAACATAGGCAATCCATCTGTATAAAAATCTTATCTAATTAGTGCATCGAAGTGTTAGTTTTTTTATGTTTTATGTCTGTAATGGGGAGAGGGGGGGGGGTGGGGTACAGGGGAGCCGCAAAAATCTCACAATTAAACTTACACTCACTATTTTCTTCGAAAATATATGTGAGTTCCACAAAACAGAAAAGAAGCATAAAGAGGACATAGAAAACGCTGTTATTTAGGTCATTGCGATGGTGAAATATGTATTTCTTTTCTTTTTTTTTAATAATAACTGGCACAGTAAAACATTCTTGTTTACTCCCTGCCTACAAAAAATAATTGACACTTCATTTCAAACTTGAATAGTAAAGAAAAGTAACTGAATGAATCATTTTACATCTGATGAGATTTGACTTTTTTTCTGCCTAGGATACGAGAAAATCTTTGTACACTCAACTGAATTTTATACGAAAAAACTAGGGCATGGAAAACTTCATGGGCTACTAAACAACAGAAAACAATATTTAGGCAAATGAAAGCTATTTTTACAGTAGAATTAGAATTTCTATTTTATGAATTTTACTACTGAACATGCTTTGGCTTATGATTTCTGTTTGTTTAAGATGTTACAATTGCATAAAAAAATATACATGCACTGATACAAATAGCTACTATTCTTGTGCATATCACATTACTTTCTGCTACTATTCAAACAAAGTATCAAAGTAAAAAGTTACACGAGTGAAAGATGATGCATATGTTCGTTGCCAAAGCACTTCAATCTAGCCTACAGGGACGCAAAGAATAGGCAAAAAACCCAAAAAAAATATTGAATTCGTTTCTGTGTCTTGGTAACTTCATTCTTTTCTTCTAATTTTTTTCTTCTATTTCCACCTGTGACTTCAAAAAAAAGAAAGAATTTTAAATAAACTTATTCCTTCACTGCACATGAATCATTTAGTTTTGAATGGTCGACTAATATATAGCAACTAGGTAAACAGTCCGAATAAGCGACATTTCCAATGTTGTTTAAAAGAGCCAAAGCTATTGACTGTTTTGTTTTTCTATAGTTCATCTGGTACGGCATCAGCAGCATTAGTTCTTTCATCATTGATTCATTTAAATTGAGGTAAGTTAACGACACAGCATGTCATCAAGGTTTGTCAATAGGTGTTCGTATTCATTGTATTCAGTGAATTATAAACCGTAATAGAAGCAAAAATTGCCGGAGTGTTGAAATCCAAGAATCTATCACTTGATGCGTGTTGTAACAAAATAGAAGTTGATAAGAAATTTTCAGACGATAAAGTACAATTTGTGTGTTTTCGGTATTAAATCAAGTTTACTTGCGCCAGAATAAAATGTTTTAGTGAAAATATACCTACTTAAATGCTAATTTTCTACACACCACTGTACTAAATGAACTTAGAAGGACCTCTATGCCTCGATATCGATTTTAAGCTTTTTTTTATATGATGCTTAGATATACTTAAATTATCACTATTGTCCTTGTTTCATTTCAGTCCACGACAATTTTTTTCTTCAGGAGTTTCATCATTCCGTTTGCACATATATAAGGTGTATTGTGATTAAGTTTGCAATAAAAACTTAGAATAACTTCAGATTGCATTAACTAATTGTTTTAATTTTTAGTCAGTAGAATTTTCATATTTTTAGCGAAGATTATTATCGATTTACATCATCAACTATTGATTTCCAACCTTTCTGCAGTAGTATCATTTTGAAATACTTGAGTAAAAAACATTGCATTTTTCATAATAAGAAAAAAGTTACCGTTGGATAAAGTTGACACATTTCACATTTGCTGATTGAATATCTTTAAAAAGGTTCAATGTCTCTTTCACATAAAGATCTCCTAGTAAAGAGTTTATTTTGAGCACCAACGTCACCTAGACAGCCAGATTTTTTCTACAGTAGATGGAATGCTGTGAATAAAATTGTTCATTGGAAAACACAAATAACATTGTCAGTTCGGTAGAAAGTGTTGCTACTGCTATCTGATAAGATACATCAATGTCATCGGAGTAACACTAGCTTTTGGAAAATATGGAATACTGTTGTCGAAGTTACCAGCTAGGGCTGATCCAAAGGTCGAATCTGTTAAACTGCGAAACGATTCGTACTCCTGTATCCGTATTAGTGCTGCTTCGTAAAAAATGAAAGATACTCTTTTCTCGTGCATGAATAAAATGTGGCATTATATTTTACTAATTTTACTCTGAATTGCCAGAACTATTCAGTACATTATACTAAACAATCTCTGGTTCTTCATTGGCGGGTCTATATGATTTTTACGGCGTTTCATTATATGACAGAGATACAATAGATGATTCAATTGAGTAGAATTTTCATACTACAAATTAATTAATTAATTAATTTTAGTTTTCTCGTCGAACAAGAAGCATTCTCTTACAATTCACCCTATACAGATTTACCTTATTTCAAACGCATTCTTGTGATTCCAATGTCTAAGTCATCAAAAACAACTGATCCAAACTTAATCTCACGCGGGGTATTTGCAAGTTTGGTCAATCTTCGCCAAACGATTTTGCAGCAACAATCAAATATCGATATCAGCCCCATCGATTCTAAAGTTGTCTTCTGTATTGAATCTGTCTTAACTTCAATGAAAGCTCTTCGTTGCGTAGAGAATTCTAAAACACTTTCTGACATAATTCATAATATTTGGAAAACGTACATTACTGATTTTCTTTCATTGAGAGAATATGTCTACATTCTTGTCAGTGATCAGTTTCAGCAAATATTCAATTCCATAGTGAAGGCTTACACGAGCATAAATTTTCCATCGATCTTCAGAGACGACACTGCCTATGCTCATGATCTTTTCTTTCGTATCTTCGATCTTTTGTCACTTCCAGCAATTATGACTCTTCTAAAAAACCAATCGAACGATCAACTCATGCCACATGTAGCTAATATTCTGCGCATATTATTACTTCAGATGCAAAATATAGCAGAAGAAATTCTATTTAAGAAAGACGATCTACTCAATCGAGAATCGACCGTTCAACCACTATTGGAATATGTAGATATGAATATATTTGAGGCTAGCAACGATATTCAACTAACAATTGTCGAAGTATTAGGATTCATTTGGACCCTAGTAGACAATACTATTTTGGTACCACAATTACTTGATGCCAAATGTGCTTCATTTACGCTTAAATGGATTAGTATGAATGAAGTATCATTCACTATTCAACTTGCTAGTATTCGACTCTTGTACAATATTGCCCGACATGAAAAAGGATGCGCTGCATTGAATGAAGCCAATGCTATTCTTCTAATGCAACAATTAAAGAAACGAACTTTAAATCCAAACATTGATGATCCAACCTACGAAGATATGCGCTTACTTTTTTCAATGGCAATTGCATTGTTGACAGAGCCGAAGGAAAGTAAAAGTGATGCGAAATCACTCGGAAAAGTACTCGATCAATTGATGCAGTTAACTGTCAATACTGCGCAGAAAAAAAACCACAAATATGGTGATTTCGATATTAGTGAACCATTGGTAGTTCTTACGAAATTATTTGTTCATGATGACATTATGGATTATATTGTTAAAGATTCTCAAGTCAAAAACATGAAAACATCGTCGAAGATCGCTTTCTTTTGTGATCTAGTACTGCAATTTCGAGGTGCTCTTGCAAACGATGACGAACTCGATCAGCTTACTCTCACAGCACTCATGAACATTATCTGGAGTATTTCATTTCATGAGAAATATGCCTACGAGCTCAAATCCAATGTGAAGTTTCTCTTTACTATAAAAAGTCTCGCTAATGACGATGGAGAAGCTTGGGTCGAACAGTATGTACCGAAACATATGTCATCGGTGAGAAAAGCAGCTGCAGGTATTTTGTGGAATATCGATGAAAATAATCCAGGTAAGAAAATTCATGCATCATTCTAAATTAATTTTAATGTGACCTTTTTTTATTGACTTCAGCAAAAGTAGTTCGTCCAGGGGAATTGACTCCGAGTGTAGACAATCGAACGAATAATTCTACGATGGCTGCAGTAGGAAATCAACGATTGCGTGTCATGATCAGTTATTCCCATGCAGATGCTGATTTTTGTCATCAACTAGCCAACGCACTTGAAAAGGGTATGCATTAATAGATTGAAAAATATTTTTCACTTTTTACATAATAACACATCGGGAAAAATCTTGTAATTCAATGATTTAAAGGAATGTTTTTGTTCCACTATGGAAGCTACATCGATTTCCAAAATCATGTTAATCTTCTTTATTTTAGCAAGTAACAATAGTACTATATCACGTTATTGTCCCTAAGAAATGAGAATGAATTGTGTACACTCCCTGAGTCATGTTAATGAGCAGGCAACTTTATAAGTGTCTATTCTTCTTCGCTGTACAATCGTAAATAGATTTTATTAGCTGGCAGCAAATTGTTGGAACGCTTTAAAAATCAATTACGGTTCTCTCGCTTTTTTTCGTTTTTCAAATTTGTTCTAATTAGATCAAGATATTTAATCAATGTGATTGCAGTTGATTGCTTTGATAGAAAAAAAGTATCTATAAATGGTGACGTAAATTCGAATTTTAGACGCCAGCTGGGTCGCTATCTACAATAGTAAATTCACTCATACCGATTAAAATATTTTTTAACTTGATAGATCAATTGAACTTGAAGTATTGATATGCTTTTTAGGTGTTGAGCTAAAATTTTATTCTGTATGCGAAATATTTTGCTAAGTGACTTTCAGTAGTTTGATAGCACATTGTATGGTTCATCGTTAGATAGCATCGATATAAAATTTTTAAAGCTAATATTCTCCTTGCAAGCATATAAATCTTCTACATTAACATACTTTTATTCAGATAAGTTCCTTTCTCACATAGTTGCTCTAAGAATTATAGCATACATATAAAGTTAAACTGTTTGAATCTTTAAAACACGCTAATCAATCAAGTAACTGGTCTTCCAAGAAAAAATTAAATCATTCATGCGTTGAGTGTTCACGTCGTATTTTTCGAGTAAAATATTTTTGTTTTTATTTTAGAAAATATTTTCGATATTTGGGTAGACTTTGCTTACTGTCATACGGAAGATCTATGGGAAGAAATTGGTCAAGCAATTGAAAAGTCTGATGTAGTGCTTTTCCTGATGACAAAAGATTATCAAGACAGTAAATCATGTCGTCAAGAAGTAATGTATGCGAAAGATTCACTAAAAAAACGCTTTATTCCCGTTTATGTCAAACGAGATTTTGCAGCGACCGGTTGGTTGGGTGTACGTATTGTGGGTCCACAATACATTCGTTTTGGCAAAAAAACGTTTGAAGCAACGGTCAAAGAGCTCGTAAAACTTATCATTGAAGATAAGAGCGAAAAAAGTTCAACAAAGAAGAATTCTAAAACGCCCGTTGTGGATTCCTCTGTCAAAGCTGAATCTAATGAGAACGAAAAGTCTGATCCAGATTTAACCAAAGAAGAACCTGAAAACCTTCATCAAAGCAATCAAAAGATAACTCAAGTCGCTGTGAATAATTCTAAACCAATTAAAATATGGAACTCAAACGATATCTTCGATTGGTTTGATACTAATAAAATTCGTCACGAACTAAAGGAAATGTATGATTTTCATAGCGGTACCGAACTACTTCTCTACGCGCAGTGCCTTCGGCAAGACTGGGAATCTGAGTATCTCGATATACGAGAACAATTTTCAAAACGATACGGCGTAGTATTATATCGTAACGAGTTTGTTCGCTTCGTCACTGCAATTAAGAAATTGGAACCATTGCAGACGAAGCCTGCGTCGAGTACATGTACTATTGTATAAATACTTTTCCTTTTCTTATATATTGAAAAGTTTGAAGATTTTACGACAGAATAATCAGCAATATGTAAGAATCTCTGGTATATAAGAAGGTTGAATGTAAGCTTGAACTTGAAAGTGTAAACGAATGAAAGATTAACATCCATGCGGTTAGTTATGTGTATCATGCTCAGAAGTAGTATTAAAATAATCGTGGGCAAAAAAAGCAGAACAGGATCAATGCTGAAAAATTTGAAAGAAAAACAGTAAAACTTTGCTAACTTCAATATTTCATGGAGATTGGCATTGAAGTTTTAATGAAGTTCTAAGCCTGACTGTTAGAACATTCTAGTTTTGTTTTTGTTATATGATAATCTAATTTGTAATTGATATACATCAGATTGAAACTAGATGCCAATGAAAAATATACAGCTATATAACTCCTTTAGTGTTGTCATAGATCTATGGAATTTTTCTAAAATCCTATTCCTGTCGAATTACTTTTAGACAAGAAATTTTTCAAGAATATTTGAAATTCTTATTTGTTTTATGCAATTGCAAAAGCTAGCATAGTTGAACAATTTACAAGCTAATTGTTTCAATTACGACATTCAAATCTTTGCCGACAAGAACAAACGAGTTTTGTGGTACTAAATGCCAATCTTTTGTCTTGTATGTGTTCGGCTCGCTTGCTACAATAGTATGTTTGCCATAATCATGTGTTGTCTTTACTGTTTTCTTCTTAACTTCTTTTCCATCTGGATGATCAGGATATTTTCGATTGAGAGTAGGCCCAGCCTAGGTCGAATAATATAAAGAAGGAGGTTCAAACTCTTCCATTGACGAAAATCGAACGGCAAGCAATTGACAACTATCTGTGACAGCGAAGTTAAGAGAACTATGCAGAAGTGTTTCATTATTTTCCTTCGTCGTCTCTTGAAACAAAGAAAGTACGCCCTGAAGAGTTTTTATCATAGTCTTCTTGAGTGTTTCCATAGGTAACTCTGTATCCCAATCGTTTCCCAAGTGTGTAAAGAAAAGTGCAGCAACATGTTCCGTATCTGTTGTTCCAAATATATTTGTATAAGCTTTTTCTGATAACTTTTGCAATAAAGCCACTTTGATTTTCAAGAAGCTCGATATCATACCATTGTGCATGAACAAGTACCGACCGAAGACGAACGGATGATTGTTAGTTTCTACTGCGGATGACAGACTAGTAGCAGCACGAATATGTGCAAACACACATTTTGATGATGTATGAGCACACAACGATATCAAATTGAAATCGTTGAGTGGTGGACGAACATTTTTGTAGACACATGGTCTATTCACATTGTCACCATTGAATTCGGCAGCAACGCCGGTATAATAACCCAAACCGAATCCATCGACGTTTGTAAAGTGATTTGGTCCATGTTCATCAGATGCTACACCTGAGCTTAGTGTACGTTGATGAAGATGAGGATCGTAAGTAACATGAAGGTTTGGAAGAAAATGTGCATCAATTTGTTTGACGATGGAATGCTTTGGTTTGATGAGAACATCTTCGAGAAGGATAGGCTCTTCGCCGATATAAGCAAACCAACGGCACATTGTTGTTGTTGTGATATGCAGATGTATTTTTATTCCTCTCGTTTTGCTTCACCAATTTAATATTTTTCAAAGCAATTACTCATGGATGACGTCTTTGTTTGTCTATTCCATAGAGGGGAAAATGTATTCATTTAACAGTTGATGTTTGAAACTACATCTACGCTTTTCAAACAAACAGTGAAACAGAAACAAAATTCTAGAAACTATACGAATCTAAATTTTCAAATACTGATGCTGAATGACTTTTCTTGATAAATTATAGTATCGTTCTTGTTGTTGCGAAACCGAAATTTTATGTAGCATATGATATGTTGAACGTGTTAATCCTGTAAAAAATTTTAATTTTCGATGTGAATATAAATATTTTCTTAACTCATGCTGACATTGATATCCTCTATTCAAAAGACAATATTCTGAATACTGCCGTTGTAGTATGTTTTCCATTTCTGCCAAGATTCAAATGTTTTTGATCAGATATTTGCAAGTCATATAATTCCAATCAATTTTTAATTATTAGTTCATTTTGATCAACAAAATTTGTGATCCTCCACAGTATGGTGTAGAAGAAACATATGACAAGCGATTGTTGTTAAAGACAAAGTTGAACAATTATGAAAAATCATTACGAACGAATCGATTTTTTTTATTTTAACAACTATATCATCAGAAAAATCAAAAATCTTAGGCTATGGAGTTGGTTACTCTAAGTAATCTAGTAACAATACGATAGTATCGATTTGGTTCCTAAAGTAACAAAATAGCAATGCATTGATTGCCAAGACCATATTATGCGGGCTCAATGTATAGTTAATCACGGCACGTTTGTTTAAAGAAAGATGAATTGTGAAAAATTCTCAAGAAGAGAAATCAATAGGTAACATGTATTCGTATACCACGGCTTTGATTCCAAGATTAGAAACACATGATAGCAGTAAAAAGGGGCGAAAACAAAAAATTAGGAGAAACCTAAGGAAATGAATCTATGGAGATCGCTCCAAAGTGATACCTTTCCATCAGGAAAATCGCGATTCGTGCGTCTCGCTATCGATAGTAATACTCCGTATTGTCAATTGGCTTGTAACCACATTTTTATGAGTAATAAGATTCAGGTTGAATCCTATGTTATTTTTTGTTTTTCACCCGAACAATGCAGCTGCGAATGTGGTTACACTATTGGAGGTAAAGTGTAGTGTATGATTTTAGTTACTCACTATATCCTCATATTCTTACTGTCACCGTTTCATTGATGATCGTTATACAGTTTATTTAGTTGCCAAGGTACTATTTAAAACTGAGAATTTTTCTTCCACTGATTATTTAATCTATTGAAAACTCACAGACTATTATTAAAAGAATGCAAAGATTAAAGATATATAATAAATTTTGTACAAACCGATGCTAATCTACTAGCATCAATATAAATGATGCATCATATGCGAGAATAATATTTTCTTTTTTGTTATTGTCTTTCACTCAATGAAACAGTCTCGTTGGTTCAAAGTGCATTTTTACTTTTATTGCTCATTCTCTTAAAACGAAAAGTTTATCTCGATTTTGTATGAAGATAGAATATCCAACGTAGATGGATATCTGAACGTCTCCTGTTTATTCGTTTTGATTTTTAATTTTCATTGTGTACATTTGTATTTTTAAAAGGGTATAAATTGCTTTAACAATATCTTTTATAAAAAAAATAAAGATAATTAGAAAATTCATTCAACTTCTATACGCGATTAATACTATTTGTTATCATTATTTAATGTAGAGAAAAGTTCGTGCTGAATTTTGATCATTCAATTCTGAACCCATAATATTTTGCATATGAACATTTCTCGCACTGATTTATCTTATATTAACAGATGTTGTTTTTCAGCAATTTATTACACGCATATCTCATCCATAATAAGAACAATGCATTGCATTACAAAACAAATGACTGTTTTAAAAGCAAAATAGGTATCTCATGTATTACGACAATTGAAAAATCATTATTAAGAATGTCTATTTTCTTACAAACCCAGTAAATGCTTAAAGAAGAAATATAATATCATTCTGGTGCATCGTTATTATCGAACAATACATTTTTCTTCTTACAATTTTCCTTAGTATATAGGAATGCTATTTACGTTTGTCTTTAAATATCTCAGTAACGCATTTTAGTCAGTATTATTTATATAACAAACAGAAAAGCTTTAAATCTTTTTTCCAAGGCCATTTTCTTTGCGCATATTGATTTAAATATTACATAGAGAAAATAAAAAAGAAATCATAGAGTATCAAAAAACAAGCCAACAAAGAAAACAAAATCACTCAAGCATAACCTCTATGTATTAATAATGATTCTCGATTGTTCTTGAATGATCAAGATGCATCCGGACCTGTTTTCCAATAAGGGTATATAAATACGTGAAAAATATTACTTTTTATTACAAAATAAAAATGTCGTATCCAATTCAACGAAATAAACCAGGCAGCGATTCTTTGGTCGATCAACAACTCGAAAAATCTCTTTTCGATAGTGATCATGACGATGATATTTTTCGTTCGTTTTTTGGTCTTGCAAATCGAATGATGAGTGAAACATTACGCAGTGGTCCAAATATTAATGGTGTTTCAACATTTATGAGTTCAGATTCTAATAATCCTAATGTAAAAGTATTCGGTTTAAGTTCAATGAATGTTACACAAATATCACGTGGACCCGATGGCCGTCCACGTGTAATTCAAGCTCATGATGAACGTCGTATGGGACCAGGTGGAGTTTGGCAAACGAAAAAAGCCTTGCGTGATCCAGATCATGGTATTGATAGAATGCAAGTCGGCTATTTTGTTGGTGATCGCGGTGAAATTGTTGAACGTCACTTAGATCCAAATAGTGGACAATATCAACAGGAAACAAAACGTCGTGGAATTCCTTCAAATGAACAGAATTTTTCTAATAATTGGAGAGCGCAGGCACAACAAGCTATGCAACGACCACATCCTTTACCAACACAATCACATCAACAACAACAATTACCTCTTCATTATGAACAATATCCACAACAAGCTCCACCATCTCCTCCTTCGTATCAATATTATTAAAATCTTGTTTTATGTATGTGTTTATTTATTTATTTATTTATATGGAAAATTTTTCTTGGTTTGATATAATAAAATGAAGAGAAAAAAACTCTAGTTCATTCATTATTTCATTAATAATATATATATATATATATAGAAATCTAAACTGTTGAAGAACTAGCTAAAATAAGTCATAAAGCATGGATATAAAACTAGGTAACTATACAAGAATAGTCTGTAGTAAATTAATCTAAGCATATACTATACATCTAATCTATATGAAGTTTATTTATCTAATTAAATTGAAATTAATACAACTATTGACTTCAATAAATGCCCGAAGTTGATGGCGACAAGTAAACTTAAATTTTAAAAGGAGATTACAGGGGGAAAAAAACTCATCAGTGATTATAAAAAAGTAATTAACTATGGAACTAATTATAAAAACAAAATGTCGACCTCTCACAACTAATAACTACTGTCGAAAGAAGAGTAAATGAAATATTTGATAAAGTTTACACCCTTTTATCATACATTTCTTTTCCGTTCATTTTTTGATTTTTATACAAAAATTCACTAGTTTTAAATAATCGATGAATATCTTTGTGACAATATAGAAGAAAAAAACATATTTAATAATAAGCAACGAAGCATAGTATGATCGACACGTGAAAACGATCAATCTTCACAAGTATACATTAACAGTAAAAGAATTCTTAATATGTTGTATTTCATTCAAGGACACAGAAACATATTTGATCTGCATTCTATGTCAATTTATGTATTCGATGAGTCAGATACATGACCAAATGTTATTCATAGACTACGAGCCATTCATCAACTTTTCATTTCTTTTGATACGGTAATTATTTGTTAATTCATCTTTTTGATATTTCGCGTAATGAATATATATGCGCATGAATAACAAAATGCCCAAACTAACACTACAAATACTACGTATATATACATCATAGTGGCAGTATTTATTTGCCAGAGAAAAACAATTGTCTGTTTGCTGCAGCTCCAACCAAAACCTCGTTGGTAATGTTCTTTTCTTTGTAATCATCATATCTATTTAAAATAGCTCGATTCTATACTACTTCATTTTCTTGAAGTAAAATAGTCAGATTTGTTAAAAATCTGAAGAAGAAAATGTCTATGTAAATTGAAGTCAATGAACCTGGTTTGCGGTAAGAAAGAAAAAAAGTATCATGAAAAAGTTGTGGCGAACAGAAATATCCTCAACAAACTCTATCAAAAGTTTCTTTTTAAAATTAATTAGCAAAAACTGTCATCAATGTCTAACCTTATGTTTGTCGATACGTTTTTTCAGCTAAATGACTGTTTGGCACAAGAATGATTGCATACAATTATACACACGGATATATAACAGCAAGATTTCGATCGTAGTGTCGAGCTCGGCAATCATTTCTCTAATATATTTCGAACTCGATATTTTTCATGAAAAAAATTTGCTAGGACAAGTAGAGTTTGGCTTATTTTAGATAAAACGTTTTCTATCGACTACACATAAAGGTCTAGTTGAACATGGGTGAATTTATTGGTAACATGTATGTACATTGAAGGGCATCAGCGTTTTTTGTATATCTATTAGTGATATTTTTCGTTTCTCTTAGTTTATTATCAATTTTGGCTATTTTGTTGCCACCGATAGCCGCCTTGGTCAAAGTTGGATGTACTATGCATTTCTTTTTAAATATGTAAGTTTTTTAATAGGAAAAATTAAAGTAAAATCAGATTATTTTCTAGTCTTCTTACTCTTCTTGGATTCTTACCCGGTTGCATTCATGCTCTTTGGCTTATTTGGAGTAATAGAACGGCTTAATGAGCGTCTATTATATATTTCAATGAATATAGACCTATCACATTTCTATACAACTTTTCTCTGTCGTAACGAAGCATGTTCTTTTTTTTGCTTTTGTCAATTATCAATCAAAACTAGATGAGAGATATTCATTTAAATAAATTAATACGCTTGTCGGTCTATATAAAGAAACAGAAAGTATTTTATCTATCTTTCAGTACAGTCGTAAATTACATAGCAATTGCCATTTGACATTGACATTGTAAAATCAATAGCTGACATCAACTTGCCATATTGAAATGTGAGTTTATGTATTTTATGTATTCTCTAGAGTGTTTGTGAAGCGGAATTAAATGTGACCTTGTCATGACGATTGCATTTAATACAAACATAGAAGTTGAACATATTCGATGAACGTCTGAAAAATCGAATTTTAAGCTTTTACTATCACTTCTGTTCTGACTGTTTTCACTTGCACGAACTCCAATGTTTCTATGAAGTCTGTTATTTCATGTCATTGCAACAACAAAGCCAATTTCATTGTGTGCTTTATTAGAAACGACTAGTTCAGCAAACATCTCGATCAGAATCAAATCATCACAACAAATGATTCATTTTATTCTATTAATAGTTTTTCTTTAGTTTCATTCTATATGATCATACAACTATGTGATAAAAAACAATTTAAATTAGCTGATTTCTTATCCATGTTTTGAGATATTAGTATGATCGATAACAATGCTCAAACCTTCAGTCTAATATTATGTCCATAACATTGAAAGTTTACATTTTTTTTACCAATATCATCTAGTTTGAGATGTTTCTATGGAATGCTAGGGCATGAATACTTTGTTTTTGTCATGATTTCATCTTAATTGACAGATAAAGATATTTCGATGTTTGTTGAAAAAAGAAAACTACTATTATTCTTTCTATCGGACGAATTGTATTAGTAATAATACATATTCGCTGTTCCTTTGAAGCTTAATACATTTAGGTCGTCAGAAAGTGACTTCATCTTAATCGAATAGTTGTTCAATCATCGAATTTGTATTGAAACTTTTATGGATTATACAATATTATTTGAGAAAAGATGAATAAAAATAAATGTAATCTCTTGTTTGATAATACAGCTATGTGCATTATTTTATTTTTTCTAAATACAAATAGTAAACATACGGCTGTATTTCTCTTTTAAATTAGCTATTACAGTCTATTGATGAATCAATTTATGTTTTAGAATGAGCATTTTATAGAAATTGAATGATCGACAAATAGGTTTTTTTAAGTTAACTCTTTATTTACAAATTATTAAGTAAAAAAAAAAGAAGCTTTTTTTCCTCCAAATATTTATAAGATATAATCAAAAATGATACCATTTTACGTCAAACAAATACATCACTATCTAAGGGAGATTTTATTTAATAAAAATTCTCCTGTGCAATAAAAAACGATAGGTCTTATTCGCGAAATTCAGGTATATTGTCTCGAAGAGCTTGAATAATTGAATCAATGGATGGGTGATCACCGCTAAAAAAGAACAAACAAAACGAAAAGGTTCATTTGTATATTGAATAAAAATTTATTTCAAACTTACTAATCCTTTTGAGGATGAGCTAACCAAACTTTCCCATCCTTTGGTCCAACAATGTATGTAGCACCTAATTGAAATCCATCTCCTCTTAAATTTCCCTGAACTCCCATTTTCTTTGTTTCATCCATCCATGCTTTTGATGATTGCGTAAATAAATCTGTAATACCTTTAATCCAACCCAAATAAGGTAAGCCTAATATTTGATATGCTTTTTTTCCTTGATCAACATACAGATCACCAGAGAAAAAATTTCCTGCTTGAAATTCTTCTAAACCAAATTTTTCAAGACCAACACCAACAAATCCAACATTGTTCTTTTTTAATATTGGATGCAATTCATTACTTAATTTTAGGGCATAAGAACGACATAGTTGACAGCCAAATCGACGAAAAAATATTAAAACTATAGGTTGTATTGAATATAGGGAACGAATGGTTACATCGGTATTATCTGTTACTCGTGTAATTAGTGTACTTCCAATAGTTGCATCTAATTCGGTGGCTGACATTGAAATCAAAAATATCTTTTTTTTTATCTAGAAATCAGATTAATGAAATTCAAAAATAGACTAATTTATCGATTATCTATTCATCGAAAGTTTTTAGTTTTTATTAAGATGAAAATCGTCAAGAAATATGATAATGAGCCTTTCTCTATTGAAATTATTTACGGATCCAACGAAATATTAGTTTTATTAATCATTTTGAAAGATTTAAATCATATGATTCATCATCTTCACAAACTAGGCGAAACACGTTCGTGTTTTTTAAATAAATCTCTCTGCACATAACAATCTGAAACAAAGACATAAATATATAATCAAACTCTCTACTAATATCCACTATAAAGCAAGCAACTTTTTCTTCATAACTGAATCATTTGTAATAAGACTGCCGAGAGAAAAATAACATTTATTTTTACAAATATGCAAACCTTCATGTTATTTTTCTAATAAAAATAAATTCTAGAAAGACATTGAAGGTTTTACTCACATACAAAAGTTAGCTGATGAAATTCATTATAAATGATCTATGTGAATATCTCTCAATCTTTGTTTTATATTTTGCATATTCAATAATAGAAAAACAAAATCATAAAATAGTTTTCTAAAAGATGACACGTCTACAAGTTTTATGCGATGTTGACAATGAAAATGTTAGATAATAGAGTTTTATTTGTTCTATTGTTTTCAGTAATTCAAACAAAACTCTAGAATCTTTCAAATAATTAGTTTATTTCTTTGTGGCTAGGAAATTTTATTGTTGGAAAACTAGCAATCTCATTTCAACTGTCGAAAAGTTTAATTTCAAATAAATGTATTTTCTAAGAAAAAGGTCTCATTGAAATCAAATCAATTTCTTATTTATAATAAAAAGTTATACATTACTTCGTTAATCAAATTAACAACAAACAATTAAAAGCACCGGAAATTTCTGTGTTTAAAACTTCTTTCAGTATGCCAAATAATAAAATATCATTCAGTATTATCTAAACATTTGAAAAAGTGATAAAAGCAAAACAAAAATACAGACTGCCCACGGATAAGACAAGCAAACAAAGCGATACAATCAACGTCATTCTATAAACATTCATTGGTTTTTATATTTAACCAAATAAAAACGTATAGCATAGCATAGAAATATCCATCATGAGTTTCTTCTTCGGCGGAGATAAACGAACTCCTTATGAAATAGCTAAAGATCAGGTTTTTATTGACAAATATTTATTTTTTGTGATTCGTATTTAATTTATTTTCTCTATTTCTCAAGACAAGAGCTATTAGCACACAAATTCGACAGGAAAAACGACTAATAGACCGACAAATTAACCGTAATTTTTCTTTGCTGGTCTATTATTACAAATAGTTTTATTATTTTAAAGAATGTGAACGAGAAATACAACGTCTTTCAAAGGACATTCGTAAGCATGCTTCAAATAATAATAGAGAAGCTCTTCGAATACTAGCGAAAGGTATTGTTAGGTATTAAAAAAGAAGAAGAATTGTCACATAACGAAAAGCAAAGAAGATAAACTTTATTTAAGAGTAAAACATAACAAAAGTCAATTATATTCAGCAAACGCGAATCTTGATACAATCGAAAATGCTGTTAGAACTCAATTAAGTAATTAGTTTTGATTTGAATGTCACATATACAAAATATTAATCTTTATAGCAAACGTAAAATTAACTGGAATCATGCAAAGAAGTGCTGATGTAACACGTTCAATGTCAGAATTAATAAAAGTAGAACAATTTCAATCAATATCTGAACAATTTTCAAAAGAATTAATTAAAGTAGGTAATCTATATCTGTGTACTAAAATGAAATGAAAACGAAAAATAAATATTTAATATAGATGGGTATTATGAATGAGATGACCAGTGAAGTTATTGATACTGCTCTCGATGATAACAATATCGAAGAAGAAATCGACAACGAAGTCGAAAAATTTTTAAATGAAATTTTTATGGGTACGAAAAAAAAGAATTAGCAAGACTTGTTTTTGCATATTGGAATTTTATTGTTTTGTTTTAGACAAAGTTGAATATCCAGATGTACCGGTTAATCAAACGATAATCGAAACAGTTGATGCTGATAATGAAGAAGCTAACTTGGAACAACGTTTGCAAGCATTGAGAAGTTAACTTTTCATACGAAGGAATTTTTATTCTTATACTAATTAAATTTTATACGAACAGAAGAAGAAATATATATGAATTTTATATGATAATTATTATCAGAATCAATTTTTTTACTTGAAATTTTCATTTATTTTCTTAAAATACACGAGATGTTAATCAATCTAATATATGAATATATTATTCGGTTAATAAATAATATGCAGAAAAATAAAAGTACAGAACAATAACGGAAAGAATCCTATTATTAGATAGCTCCACGTAAAGCTTCAATCGATTGAACAATGATTGGATCCTAAAAAAGAGTTCAAACATTTTTTATAACTACCGCTTGCTTTTCTAGCCAATGAAACGTCTTACTTGCGTACAAATCTTTATAAAATCTTCTATAGTTATATATCCTTGATGTAATTTGTCAAATTTTTGAAAGACCGTAGCTGTATGTTCTTGAATAGTTATATAATCATTGTAATGATTAGATATATTGTCAAGTAATGAATAAACAGCACAAACAATCACATGAAAATCCTTTCAAAATACATATCGAATTATTTATGAAATACAAAAAAAAACAATATAAAATAATTGCAAGTTGATTTTAAGAACAAAATGATTCATTCGCTTCTCTCATAGATAGTACAAGCGTTCATGAAATTTTTTTTGTAAATTTATAAATTATTCAAGTAAAAATTTTAATTTGATGAATTGAACAAATTAATTATAAAATTTAAATATCTTTTCCCCGCTAGACCAAATCATGAAGAAGAATAGTTAGACTTACATCTTTTGTTAATCTTCCTGTTTTTTTTGTATCATATAATTTAAATACCCATTTGAGTCTATCTTCAATTGTTCCACGACATAATGTTGATAAACCAATAAGAAAATCTTCAAATGTTACAATACCTGATGAACGTAAATCAAATGTTGAAAATATTAAATGAGCATATTTTGATGTATCACCAAATGGAAAAAATTGCCCAAAAATATTTTTAAATGTTTGCTCATTAACAATACCTAAATTATTTTCTTAATTGAAAAACAAACGCCAAGAAAATTTTTTTTTCATTTTTTCAACATACCCGATGGACATTCTTGTTTGAAACCTTGATAAATAACTTGAATTTCTTTCTTATCGAATTTTGTTCGTGCTACTAATTCATCGAGACTGCAAGGTCTATAGGATCGTGAATTATCTGTCACAGCAGCATCATCATAATCGCTGTCTAAATAAGAAGATTATTGAAAATCTTCAAATGAATAAATGAAACTAGTTGTACAAGTTTTCAAGAGAATTTTCTTGGAAAAGATTTCTCAGTTGAACTAAACTTATGATCGAATTTTTATTTCGATATGTTAGACGATTAAAACTATCAGAGTTATTTAACGATTTTTTCTGTTATGAAACAACATTAGAACCAGACAATCCGTCAATGGAATACAAGACTATTCAAATGCCCTATTACATTCAGTACAGAGAGTGTTTGAAGATCTATTCTGATCGCATTATTTCCATAAATTTTTCATTTGAAAAATAAAAATAATTATGAGAATGCAGTAGCAAATCATGTTTCTCTGAATTGCTGAAGTTGTTATGAAATACGATCTATAGAGATTGTTGACATGGAATCTCACATAGCATATGAATGATATCTTATTAACATACTTGAATCATTTCTATATTGCAATTTTTAAAAGATTAGCTATATATGTTGTAACAACAGCATTTTAATTTCATATGTATTATATTAACATCTTTTTTGTGTACTCAAAAAGTGAGTACACTCTAGAATCGGTCAGTGTGTCCGTCCGGCCGTAGGCACGATAACTTGCGAAAGGAGAGTCAGACCGTGATGAAATTTTCCACACAGTTCAATCTCATGAATATCTCGGTCGAGTTCGAAGATGAGAAGAATCCCTCAAGAAATGGTTGAGTTATCGAAAAAATTGTNAAACATCGCCTGAAAAACGTCTCAAAATGCACAAAAACTGCATCCAGAAATCAAATTGCCTAGTTTCTCATGATAATTTTGGTGTTCAGACATTCTAGAATGACTCGTACATCCCATGCACTTTTTGCAGTACACATAACTTTCGGATGAAATCCGAAGTTTCCACATTTATTTAACTCAGTATTCTAAATTCTAAGCATGATCTGACATGAAAATGTTTTAAGAAATTTCTAAGCGTAAGAAAAATCAATTGTTTCAAGAAATTATTCTATTATAGACAATAGCTTACTACATCTCCTATAATCTTACTCGTATTTTTTTTTCTTGCCAAAATGACAAGTTTTATGTGATTCTAATCTTTGAAATAAATGTCGATTGATTATCATTCCTAATTTTCACTTTTTGAAGTAGAACAAATAACTTTAAATAATCTATATATAATTAACACATTTATTCTCCATCACTTTTCTGTCTCTATAATCTAAATCATGAGGCGCTCTTCGATGTAATTTTGTCAACATGAACATAAATGTCTATCTATTTATTTAAGAAAGTCTTATTGAGATTTACTGATGAATGATACACAACTTTGATGAATCAGATTATTATTCTGATGTTTATTTATTCTCGTCATCTAGAGACATTCCTATTCTTAGAATGAGAAAAAGGGAAATTTCTAAATGTATTCTATGTGTTATTTAATATTCTATTAATAAGATGTTAGCCAAAAATAAAAGTTGATCTTATCTGAGTTGATTTTATTTTGTCTTGGTTTATAAGAAATAAATAGTAGCTTACAGCAGACGGACGACGAGTACTCGTCCATCGTTGATCATCCATATGAAATTACAGATTTTTTTTATCTGAAATAATTGTCTCGTTGAGAAAAGAAGAAAATATCCTACAATTAATAGATGTCAAAATAAGGATGACAGGAGATGACGAATGAATGATTGAGGACATCAAGAAAATGTTTGTCATTGAAAGAAAAATGACATTTTGAGTAGTAGTAGTTTTTCTTTGCTCAAACGAAAAGGATTTTCTATGTCTAACAGAAAGGGAAAAAACAGAATGTAGTCAATCTTAACAATAAAAGTAATCATGATGGACTCGATAGACGATGTTTTTCAAGTATCATTCTATTCTATCTTTTAGATTGACGAGAAAGACACGATATAGCTAAATAGATTTTTTTCTGACTGTCTCGTTCGCTCTCAAAAAAAAGATTAATGCATGACAAGAATAGAACCATATCTCGAAGAAAAATAAGTAACTAAAGAAAAACATATGTTAGTGCTCATGCTGAAAAAAAATGCATCTACGCGTACTATTGTTTAAGAATGTCATCGCGAAGCAATTTTTACAGATTATCAACATTTTCTCATATTTTATGATGCTGAATCGAACTGATTAGTAAAGAAATCTCTTCTTTTTTGTCCCCATTTCTATCAACACCTTTTCCTTGCAAGGCTACAATACAATACAATTGATTCATTCAACCATTCGTTATTTGTGAGTGTATTCTTTGTTTAAGATATGCAAATAAGAATCAAGTTAATCTAATTGGTACGCTAATCAGAATAAAATATATGTAGAGTATTTTCATGATATTATATACATATTCGAAAAAGAAAATGCATCGCAAAGTATTGCTATTTATTTATGACGTTTAAATTTTCTTCGTGAAAGGAACGATAAATTAGATTTTGAATGCTTAAAAAACTCTTCTGTTCTAATGAAATCTATATTACAAGTATACGTATATATATATATATAAGTAAATTAGTTAGAATTCTTTCAAATTTGTTAGAAGTTGCATAAATGTTTTTGTTTCTCTAAAATTCTCATTAAAAATATGCGCAAACTTCGATTAATTGTTAAGTGTTACTTATTAGAAGTTTATTTATTTCTATAAATTTTTATCGATTTGTTCTTTTCTATCGAATTCTCTCTATTCCAAAACAATTCTCAACTAGAAACAAAATCATAAATTCCATCTATTGATTTCAATAATGATTTTAATCTTCGATAGACAATTATTGTTTCAGAAGAAGTAAACTTACTCCCATCATATTTTGTATTCAATGCCACATTATTACCCATAGTTTATCGTTAAATACTTGAAGATATTTTTATTAAAAAACTTGAATAGGAACTAAATAATAAGCATCGACGCAAGCATACACGTGATATACTACTAGTATGTTACGACTGCTAGTACAATCTATATTTATTAAAGTCTTCTATGTTTCTGACTAATTCTAAAATAATAATGATTATTGATCTTATGTTTACTAGAAATGCTACTAACATGAGATGGAAAAAAAGCCTGTAGTTATTTACTATTCGATCGGGAAAATATATTGATTATTAAAGAAAAATTTGTTTCTAATTATTCATCGAGCACCAACATCAATACTAAAGAAATGAGTGCAATTCTCATAAGAATACTTTACCTAGTCATTATTTTATAAATACGTGATATCGTGTTCGACAATCGTTTATTACAGCATTATGAATTTACAAGAAAGAAAAAATGACTCTAACATCAAAAACATAGAAATCATTCTTTGATGTCGAAGAACCGAATCTTAACAGAAATCTCCATCACGGCTAAAACCCTACTGTCTGAAGATGGTGTTTAAAATAAATGTGTTGAGCTTCACTACAACGATTGTATTGAATAGGAACTATTTTTTTAATTTAACTATGAAAACAGTGACCAAGTCACGAGTTTGATGTTGAGAGGAGAGAGTTAGTTGCAAGCTCATAAGGAAAGTTTGAAACCCGAATTTCAAGGATACAACAGATAGCTCAAAAATCTTATCAGGGTGTTCAGAGATTCACAAAGAGTGAGAATGGCTAGACCTAGCCTGGCTTCACTAAGGTTCATAAATTATTAGTGTGACATATTTGTAGACATCGACGTTCTATATAAACCGATGCACGTATTAAATGTCTTCAAAAAACTACATTGTCGTACTGTTAAAGTAGCAGTAGCATCTCGAACGATATGTCAGATATTTACACAATTAAATAAGTTTTCTGTTGAATTATTCTCCTACCAATTAAAACAAACAACTGTAGAATCTAACATATGTTGATGAGTTTCGGGAAATGACGAGAGTAATATTAGCTTTTATTGTCTCTCTCTCTTTCTAATGATCATGGTAAATAGCTCATTTTTACATCTCCATCGGAAAAGAAATCATCTGAAAGCATTGCCCACAGAGCTGAGTGAAATACTTGAAGCACTCGTACTCGAGGGTGAAGTACTCGTACTCAAGGGTGAAGTACTCGAAGTCCTACATCAACATTAATTATATCAAAATGATGCTTGATAAAATCATAATGTAGATTTTTTCAAGAAAGAACAGTTGATTTCTTTCTTTCCTTTTATATTTATATATATATATATATGTATTCTGAATGAATCATTCAGATAAATATTTATNTGATTACATTTCTTAAATGTAATCAAGTTGTGTTGTAGATTTTTTTTTGAAACTTGACAATAAACGTAATTTAAAAATATTGATTCATGACTAAGACTATTTCTTGATCTCACAATTGATACGTAATCTCTAACACTACCAATTAAATTTTCTCTAATAAGTTCGCGACAAACACATTCTTATATCATGTACTCGTACTCGAAAAAGTCAGTACTTGCCCCCAGCTCTGATTGCCCAACACCTGATAGTCGTTTGAGTTCTAAAATATTAATTTTTATTTACCTTGAAGTTTTTGACGTACAAATTTACGTGTTGTACTGATAAATGATGGAAAAAAACTTCCTCTACCTTTTGATTTTCGTAGTAAAAAAGTCAAATCTTATTATTCTTATTATAGAATGATACAATTGATTTTATTGGCAAATATGAACTTGTTATACAACGGACGTAGATGGGCGTTTGATAGAAACAATAAGGTGGGGAAAAAGAAAAAGAAAAGAAAAGAAATTAAAGCAACGTAAAATGTACTGAAAAACTAATTGACTCTTTCAACAGTAAATTTAAAACGAATAGAACTAATGTCAATAAATGAAACATTCAGCAGCGATATCATAATTAGAATTAATAGAACATTTTTTTATAGCAAGTCAAATGATTTTATTATTTAAATATTCTATGCTATAAGCAATAGAATAAATAAATATTGTCAGACTGATTCTTAATACGTGGAAAAATTTTTGATTTTATGAATTTTTTTAAATGTTTTTCTCAAGAAATATTTTAACAAGAAATAAAACACCTCATCACCGATAGGATTTAGAAATTTTAATGATGAAATACTTACCATGAATCTACAATAGAATCATGAAAATTTCAAATTTGAATAATATTCGATTTTGATCAAAAAAGCCTTAAATTTCTACTAAATACTATCGGAATTTAAATCCAGAAAAATTGCCGATAGCGTCGCTACTAGAGATCTAATGTTTTAACAGATTTTGACCGTAGCATCATCATTTCTGAATCAAATGAAATGCGTTCTTTGTGATAAAATGAACTCAAGTAGAAGCTTGAAAACGTCTGATAAACGAAAGAATTTTTTGAAAATTCATTAACTTTTATTATGACTGATTAAACATTATTCAGTGTAGTGCGAGTTGCATCGTCCTTATTATGTTGATTAAGAGGAGGAATATTGCTTTTAACAAAAATAATTATAATGGTTATTAAATTTTTATTTATAATTTTGAAAACTATTGATGACATAATTTAATATCAAAATCGAGCGTTCATCGAAAATTTTTGACAAAGAATTTTAACTAATGTAATATGTGCTATGACTTGGCATCAATTCTAGATTTTTAAGAATCTAAATAGGTAACCATCGTTATTGTTATATGAAGATCGATATTTAAAAAATCTTTAACTTCGTCTTTGAGTGAGAAGTAAGCCATTTGAGAGGAGTCCTTTAATCGATTCGTTGCTTTTTTTAGTTTCAAAACAACATTTTTGATAGTTTGACTAAAAATAAACAGTTCACCGGAGAATTTTCATGTGTTTTCTTGCTTCTTATTTAAAGAATGCCTTAAAAATGCTTCTTCTCCTTAGGATCCAATTGAGATGCGTTGGTTCAGGTTCAAGCATTCTGTGATCTTCCGTGTCTTACTAGCAATGAAACGGAATAGATTGTTTTATGGACGATGTAGATGGAATGAATTCTGACACTTGTCAAAGTTATAGTAGCAATGAATTTAGTATTTTTTTGTGAAATCACACATACTTCATTGACGCAGTTGTTTAACATTTTATTTACATTGCATGCAAATACATTGAAATAAATAAAGACCTAAACAAAATTCAACATGGCATTATACAGCAACTTCGATATGTATAAGTATTTCAATTTTATTTCAAGAAAGAAATGTACAATAAGGTTTTCACTATATGAAAAAAAGGGTACTCAATCTATTGTCGTTTCATGTGTTACTTCAGGTCACTTATGTAGTATTAGTCAAATATATAGATCTTGATTGAAAAAAAAGAACATTTTTGTTTTTCATCATAATGAAATTTTTCATCTCGGAAATGATCAAACATAAAGAAGTATATGTTGAAGTTCTACTTTCGTTCGCTAATATTTACATTCAAGGAAGTCAAAAGATAAAAAAAACAGAAGTAGAAAGCATGAACACAAAAATAGTCCTAAATTATTATTAAGATTTATCAAAGTTGAAAATAATGTATCTATTAGAATTTGAAAAAATAGTTTTCAAAATGAACTAGTCTTCGATCTTGATTACTAGCTATTTGTGTTATATATAGATGTCAATTTATATAATGAATCTATCATTAATCTGTTAGTGAATATGAAAGCGAATTGTGTGAAGAAAAGAAAAGAAATTTGATTTCTTTCCATATGCACAATGATTTATGTTTTTTTTTATTTAAAATGCTCGACGTGTAATAAGTGAAGAAACGAAGAAAAAAAAGAGACCTGGCAAAGTGAAATATCGCTTGTACTTACGATAAAAAGTTGTCAGAATATTTGCGTACTCTGTAGCAGAAGAAAAAGCTAGAGAGAAAGAGAGAGAAAAAAATCATCGACACGAATTGATGGTTTATTTTTCAACTTTTATTAGAAGAACTACAATTCATTAAAGGCTGGAGCGAAAAACATGTCTGATTCTTCATTATATTTGTCTACGAAAGGTACGTAAATAATCACTTGTATTTTCGTATCATATTACCAATATGCTTATTATATTAACGTAAAGAAAAAAAATGCTATTTTAAATTCAGGAATTGCATCAAAAACTGATCAACGTATACATAATCTTTTCTATCGTAAATCAAAACTTGAAAGTGTTAATGAAACATCAGCATTATTAAGTGGATTTGCTATTGTAAATAATTCTGTTTTCCTTCATAAACTAGATATTTATTTCAGGTTCTGTTTTTTTCTCTGTTCAAGGTGGCAATCGTTGAATTATCATTAGATTCCTACAAAGATCATAGCTCAAATGATGGTTTAATAGTATGTTATGCAATAATATCATGTCTATTAGTCGGAATTCATTTACTCGCCTTATTGATGTCGATGTGTATATTGCCGGAATTAAAATGTGTTATTCGTCAAAATGATGTTTGGATACATAATCAAAACACGAGACCACTATCATCGCTAAATATTTATATTGAAATTGCATGGGTTGCTTCGACAGGTCTTGGACTATTTCTGTTTCTTATTGAGCTCGGTATAATAATATGGATAAAAATGAGTGGATTTTCACGTTTAGCAGCTACATCTGCACTTGTTACACTTTGTCTTGTCGGTTGTCCATTCATTTTATTTGCCGTTGGTTTTTATATTCATGTAACGAAAGCAAAAGTTTATCTACATCAAATAGACCTAGAAAAGGTTGAACGTGGTGCTATCGCTCATGGACTGTTTTTAAATAATCCTACTGTTATATCACCAGCATCGGTTGAATTTCATATAGATGACGATCGTTGAATATCATGGGTTTTTTTTCTTTATTTAATAAAGTATGCGATTCAATATCTTATGATTTTTAAATAATATTCTAATTCAAATACTTGTATGAATGTTTATCTTTATCATAAAACCGAGACAACTGTTTGTTTGTAAATCCTATCATCTTACTTTGCACTTTTCATTCAGATTCAGGTACATCCAAGTGATTACCTTTAGTCATTTTAGTGGTAGTAATAAAATAAAATAATTCTTTTGATTCATTAAAAAGTTTACATTCCCTATTGTATTGTCGAACAATACAATAAGTCAAATGTAGAACAAAAACACAACAGTTGCTATGACAGATGAAAATAATACGACGAGAAAAATGAACAGGTGTTTACCAAGATGAAAGTGAATAATCGTGAAATTTTTCAACAAATGAAGGTTAGAAGCGTCAAAATTTGATAATACAAATATGAGTAAAAACATTCGAGAGTCATCTTTCAGCTAACAACTGAGATAGTTATAGAAAAACCGAAAGTTGTAAGTTTAGATTAGAGCTGGTCTTTCATTAATGGTTTTCATAATAATCAGTTTTGCTGAGTCTATGATGATCCAATTAAGTGGAAACATATGTTTATATCTACATAAAAATTTATAATAATGGTATCGATATAAATTATAAGGGGGTTTTCTTATAAACTAGTTTGTCGAACGTCCATTGCACAATATTCTTTGCTTTCTACATATCTTTGACAAGAATTAGAATCTATTTATGTTTAAACTATGAAAATTATTATACAACAGGTACTCGGTAACTTTCATCTGATCTATACGTAGACGTTAGAAAAATTATTTTCAGATATTGAACAGTTTGAGTTGTAACTATTTGCAACTCATGAAATTGTAGACTGAACCTTTCTGGGTGCGTCCCTTTTCGTCCTCACTCTTCCGGACATCAGGTTATTTGACCGGATGTTCGAAATCGGATATAAAAAATAAAATCGATTTTCCGGATGTTCGGAATGAAAACCGTCCAGATGTTCGGAACGAAAAAATACAGGATGT